CCAGCCTCGGCCGGGACCCCGCGGCCTCCATCCCCTGCCCGGAGCCGCAGGGGCCCGGCCCCGCCAGGCCCCGCCATGCCCCGCCAGGCCCCGCCAGGCCCCGCCAGCACCGTCACCTCCTCACAGCCAGAAACAAGAGAGCTTTCCTGGGCTTGCCTGTCCTTAAAATGCACAATTCACAGAGGTGGACCCACTTCTAAATGGTTTGATAGGTTGTCAATTGTCAGAGCTAGCCAGCTATTGGTTTTTTCTAGGCACAGAGAAAGCTCTTAGCAGCTTCCCTCAGAAAAATCATTTCTGTGGGTGTCCTCTCTCCTCACTAAATGTCAACCAATGCAAAATCAACACAGTGAAGAATTTTTTCCTAATATCCAAAAATACAGATTTTCTCTTGAAACCATAGAAATACCCCAACAGAGGAAGGGCAACTTTATGTGAAATTTTCAATTTTTATCAACTTCCTCCTACTCATTTGCCCATACTATGAATATCTTTCCCAAGAAAGCCTGAGGAAGAAGGAAAATTATGAAATGTTTTAAAAGAAACATCAGTAGGCCAGATAAGATAATGCCGTCTATCCTGTTTCATAATAATGTTTTTGGCAAGACCTGTTACTTAATCTTATGACTGAAATGTATTTCTTCCATATCAGTGATAGAAGAAAATATTGTGAATGTGGAACTCTGAAGGGGAAGTGAAAGTTAAAATGTCCCTTGTCATGTTGGTGTGGCATGTTGTCTTTAGCTTGGCTGTGTTGCAATCAAATTGCATCTACCATTGCCCACCAGGAATAAATGACACCACCACTGGTAGGAAACAGCTGTGGATCATTTCTGCTAGTGATATGGGATCATTTATTTTCATAACATTTTTCAAATCATACCCTTTACCTTAGTGGGAGCTAGATAACTGGCCTTGGGCCTAATGTAAATGAAAAGGCAGAGTTCACACATGGCATTTATTGAGTTATGGATGCCACCTTTGGCATCCCTGCCAATCTTTCAGTGTTCTGCTCTGTTATCAAGCTGAAAAAACAATGTTCTGTTCAAGGAGAAAGTTCCTAGGGAGCCAGGATACACATGGCCTGTAATATTCACAGTTGATGTGGCTTTTTTCTTCCTTACAAAAGAGATGGAATTCAACTGTCTCTGCATTTATTAGAGTTGGTGCAAGAGCTGAATCCAGGTCTTGGCTCAGAGGAGATTCCAGAAGGGGACTGGAAAAAAAACAACCTGTTGATGCTGGGAGGTGTGGAAAGCGAGTAATGGAAAAATCAGCAAAATACTTTTATGTTCCTCAGTTGAAGGCATCTCCCTGATCGTTTGAGCAGAGTTTGAGGCTGTAAACAAGCTCCCTGTCTTTCTGTGGGGCAATAATTTCTCAGTATATTCTGAGATACTGCTTTTTAATGCTTGTTTCTGCAAGGCACTGCTGAAATGGTTTAAATTGCTCTCAATTTTATCTTTGTCACATTGAGGGTAACAGAGCCCTTGGTTTATGGTGATGCACTCTTGGAGCAGTGTTGTCCTGCTGAGGTCAAGGACAGAAAGAAGACAGGAAATAAGAGATGGAGGTATGAAGATACAGGCATCAGACCAAGAACTTGTTTTTCACAATGTATATTTTATAGTTTTGGCTTGCAGGAATAGTTTGCTTCTGTCCAGCCATGAAATTCTGTCTCTTTAAGCTCTCACACGGCCAAACAGAAGTCTGTGCCACCATCCAGTTTCTTTCCTTGAGTCAGGGCTTTATCCTGGGAGCTACCAGTTCTCACAGTTTCTAGTAGGTATTAAAAGCTTTTTCCTCCTTAAGAGCCTTTCATGAAAACAATGGGAGTAATGTTCAGCAAACTTGTCCTTGGAAGTGATTTGATGCCTTTAACTTTTTGGAAGAAAAGCAAAGAAAGTCTTGAAATAGTTTCAGTGGCATGAAATCATAGTAATCTACTATAATAAAATACTGAAAGAATAACTGTTCTTAAGAACATTTTTCACATACACCCTCATCTTAAGTGCAGTAATTACAAAGACAGGATTACTGCAATTCTACTTCAAAATTTAGAGCTCTTCCTAAACTGACAAGTATTACTTGTCTTCTCTGACCCTCCTTTAGACAAAGGGACAGTTCTGAAAGTGTCAGTTTGCCTTTCAGCATGGTTGCTTTTAACTCATATAACAGGTCAGGCCATTATTGCCTTTCCATTTTATTCCAACTATCTCAAATGCTCTTATTTCATGTTTCAAAACTAATGATTCCATTTCGTTTATTCTACATTCACATGGTGGTACCAGAGTCCTTCCAGGTTCTATTGGGGTGTGAGCATCCCCATGCCTCCAGATGATTTACAGATGTATTAACTTATTTTAAGGTTGAAGTACTACCGAACATGAATTATTTCATGTCTGCACAGGTGTGCAGTAGCTTCTCAGGGCAGTTTCCCCACACTGTTCTTCACTGCTTTGCCTGGCCTGTGATGTTTGACTACACTGCTTTAGCAGACAGGATTTGAACAGGCACCCAGAATTCCTTGAAACCAAAATCAGTGTTATTAGGGACCCCAGGTGAACCTGGCTGTTAGCACTTCAGTATCACAAGTGTGTTTGTGACCACTCAGCTGCTTCAACAACAAAGGCTATTGGTTCAGTGGTTCAATTCTGCAGTATGGAACAGGATGATGATGGTACAAGCAGATAACAAGATTTATTTTGTGTGGTAGAGTCATAAGCTGTTATGTCTATGGATGTGCCTATCAGAAGGAGCTCTAGGTTTTATGTTACTATAAAAACTTGTCTGGTATAAACTTTTTCTCACGTGTTGTGCACATGCAGACACATGCTCCAGTGATCTATGCTCTTGAGAACTTGGAGTCTTAATAGACAATACCGTTGTCAAAACATGTTCCAGAATTCATCAGCACTCGGTCCACCAGCATCAAAAGAATGCAGCCAACGGTCTGAGCTCCAGGGCCCTTACTGCCAGAGAACACAGACAGCAAACTCGGGTTTTCACATGGTGGTTCAGTAGGTGTTTGGTCAAAGTTGGACCTGATGATCTTGGAGGTCTTTTCCAGCCATAATGATTCTATGATGCCAGGCAAGTGCCCTAGACTTCTCACTGTCTTCAACCAAACCTATTATCAGCCCAGTGTAACTAATTTGTGTGCTATCACGAGCCTGGAATCAAAGCTTTCACTACATTAATGCTATCTCCCTTGTGTGAGCCTCCCTCACTCCCTTTAGCAGTTCAACCAAAAAGCAGCTGCAAGAAGCAAAGGAAAATGTTTACACAGTGGATGGTCTCTGTAGAAAGGAGTGCAGCTACGCTGCTCTGACAGCTCCCTCTGTTTAACAGATAGAGTGTCCTTGCTTTCTAAAAACAGAATCAGGGAAAAAGCAGGGAGTATGAGGAGTACAAGCTGGGGAAGGGTACCAGTAATATCCATGTACCAGAAAAAAAATCCAGCACTGGTAATGAGATCTGCAGCATTTTAGCTAGGATATTTAACTTCATCCTCTCAGGGCTTCAGGTTTCATGAAGCTTCATCAAGTTCATCATGAAGTTTCATCAGGTTTCAGTCATGTATTCAAGACTTTAAAGACATTTAAATGCTGCAAGTCTGCAGCACAGGTAGGCTCCAAAACATCAAGAACTCAAAAGATTTCTAGGGATGGTAGTGCATTCATGACTTCCCATGTGTCTCCACAGAGATTAGATGCTAATTACTGAAAGCTAATAGGCTCCTTGTGGTTACAGACCTTCCCCTTAGCACTTTCACTGACACTGCAGAATCTGACTTCCCTTTTAAATGACTTATCCAAATAGCTTAGCATAAGATAAATTCTTTAACTACAGCAGCATGAAACCTTTTATTCTGGATTTTGAAATACACATATCATTAAACATTTTTTTTTTCTCCTTTCTCTTTGAAGTAAAATATGACCTTAACAACCCTGCAAAACACGGAAAGTTGAATTTCCTCAACAACCTTGCAACTGGACTGGTATTCATTATAGTAGTTGTGAATATTTTTATCACTGCCTTTGGAGTACAGAAACCAGTTGCAGAGTCAGCATCAAGACAGTGAGGAGCAGGTGAGTGTGGTCTCCTGCAGCATGAGGTATTGGGGCAAGGCACCCAGGGATGCACTTCAGAAACAGCCACAGGCTGATCTGTACTCTGCAAGTTCTTGTAAATACCTGAGTTCATTTCGCATTAGTGCAAAAGCAGAAGCTGCTGGGTAAGTTATTACAGTGTGTTTGTGAATTTGGAGTTCAAAAGTTGATGGCAAGCACATGTATCGCCCATAGGAAGTGTAAGGGTTGTCCTGGCCTAGCCACTCCTTTTCCTTACTGCTGACTGAGACAATAAGGGAAATCATGTTGTTCTGCTTTTTCCAAATGCCTCTCCTTTTTTTAAGGAAAGTTTGCATCCAGTCTGTTATTTAACACTGAAGACAATCTGTTTCCAAGTAGCTAAGGCTGTTAAATCTGATATGTATCACTGCACATGCTGGAGCCTCTCAGTTCCTGTGCTGGCTCCTCTGTCCTCCACGGGACAGGGCTTTGCTCTGGGGGACACTCAAAGATGAGTGCTGTCACTTCACATGTGGTTATTTAGGACAATGTTATTGCTCTACCTGCACTTTCAACTTTGCTCTTTACTTACACAGAAGAACAAATAAAGGAATTGTGGGGATCAAACTGGGTGTCTTCCCAGCATCATAGCTATGATGAGCAGTTTGGGAGGAGATAAACCTAAATTGTAGGCTTGTAACACAAGAGGCACCATGGTCAACATCTGCCTTTAAAATAGCACTGCTAAGTCTGTGTGTGCCAACATTGCTCTGGCTCTTGGGCTCCTGGGTCTCAGCCCAGGGTCAGAGACCTGCTGAGGAAGGAATGACTGGGCTGACAGGCTGTGGTGCACTCAGCCCATGCATGTAATGTTACTGCTTTGTGCAAACTTCTACAGGAAACCCTTTCTCCATGAAAAAGAAGATACAAGGCCTTTAAACCATTAATCTGTAGATGAGTGGTGTAACAAGAATGGGAATCAAACCAAAATTTATCATCAGTTGAAACAGTATGGGAGGAAACCATGCAGAAAATTACTAGGAAGATGAAGAACTACATTAATTTATCTCAGGGTGTGGGTGAAATTTTCTGCTTTAACCAAAACCTGTGAAATTCACAGGCAGTGAAACAAGATAGTTTTATTATATTTTCTGGCTATAGTCGCTACAAACAGACTAATAAATATTGAATTTTAACAGCAAAGAGCACCTAGGTTATCTGAGGTATTATCAGAAACACAGGTAGAAAGTTGACTTCAGCAGTACACATTAAAGCAATACTGAAGCACAAACCCCAAAATTGCACTGGCAAAGCCAAAAGAGCTGCTTGAAGGATTACTGGAATTTTAGCTGCTTTCACAGGAGGAAACATACACAATGCCAGGGACAGGGGCAGAGGCAAGGATCTGAAACAGGCATAAGGAAGCTCAGAACAGAGCCAGCAGCTGTGGGCTCCTGCCTCCATGCTGTCACACACTCAGTTTCCTAATTAAACAGCCAAATGTGGTGTCCTGTTTTTTGCTGCAGACTTGTTAAATGTGAAAGTTCTGTATTTCTTTAGAACATTGCAGCTGTTGTTTGCTCATTTGTACCCATTGCCCTTGCTAAAAACATCTGGTCATCTAAATGTAAATTGAAAAATAAGTGGCTTTTAGTCTGTTGCCACAAGTCTCCTCAAAACCCTGAGAGAAGTGGGTTGCCACCATTTTCTGGCTTCACCTTTACTATTATGCACCCTTTTCCACAGAAAATTTAATTCCCCCTTTAAAGCAAATGTGTCAGTTCCTGTATCACTAAAATAGCAATATCTTTGTGTTTCAGAGACCTGGAGCATTCACTGTAGATGCCATTTGCACTTGAGCCAGCTACACTGGTCACAGTGGGAAGGAAAAAATGATTTGAAGAAGCTGGACACACCAAGCAGCTTTCTCAGGCTTCCAACACACTTGCATACCTGAAATTTTCCCATGTGTTAATATTTAAACTGTTTGGCACCTAAGAAAAGGTTGATTTTGCCCCAAGGACGCTGTTTTTCTGGAATACTAGCATTTCAATTTCTGAAGAAACTTAATTTTTTTTTTGAGAAGCGACGTAAACGCATAGAACAAGGAAATATCATCTTGCAGCAATTCACAAGACTTTTCTTTTTACATGGCTTTGGTTTTTGTGGCAATTTGTCATTTCCACCATGGTAGGAAATGTCAGGCCTTTGATTCTGGTGTGGTGACATGGTCCTTTATTTCACAGCTTGCCAGCAAGCCCATGTGCTGTGTAGCCCAGCAGGGCTCTTCCTTTGCAGCGTGTAAAGGTAGCTGTGCCTTGTTTTTCTTTTCTTCCACTCTAGCTAAAGCAAAGATGAGACAAACAGAAACAAACAGCATTCTTTTTTCTTTCACAGGTAATCATTTGTATTGTTTCTTCTGGACACACTTAAAATTCCCATGTCCTTCATTAGGTTATAACAAGAACCTAATTGTTAATGGTTTCGTACCATGAACTGCTATTCTGTGCATGATATGTTTTTATTTCAGTCATGGAGTGGTTTGGTTTCAAGGGACCTTTAAAGGTCATCTCGTTCCACCCCTGCCATGGCAGGGACATCCTCCACTTCCCAGGTTGCTCCAAGCCCTGTCCAGCCTGGACACTTGCAGGGATCCAGGGACAGCCACAGCTTCTCTGGGCACCTGTGTCACCTCCCTCATTGTAAAAGGTTCTTTCTTACATCAAATTTCTGGAAACTCAGTTAGAGAAAGTGCCACCTTTTCTAGGCTCAGCTGGTAAACTGGGGGATCCAGGGTGGACTTTACCTGCTAAACTGCTACCAAGTGCCTGTCAGCAGCAGTTCAAATGGCAAAATGAACTGAGTTTTCCTCTCTAGTTTCCTCTCTCTCTTCCCATCATTGATTGCTGCATTTTTTTTTTACTTTTATGAGATTATGGCTAAAAGCAAAACAACTTTTTAAATTTTTATTTTTAAATATATATATATATCTATATATCTATATATATAAATACCCTCTAGGCCCTTACCTGCTGGCTCAGGGACTTACACTTTTTCTAAATACACTATTCCCAGTGATGGTGTAGGTTATAATTTCTTCAACAAAAACATTTCAGTCATTTTATTTCCAAAGTATCATACCTGCAATCAGAAAAATCTGAGTTTTCTAGGTTGCACTTATATGTAGATGCAGATTTGTATTAATCAATGTTCTTAGTATCAATTTTCCAATGCTCCATCGTACATAAAATTAGAAGTTTAACTTCATATGTCTCATCTCATTTACAGTTTTTATTACTGGTCATTCTCTTTGGTTATGTCTCAAAGCCCATTGATGTACCAGACTTTCATGTGTATGTTCTGTATGGATTAGTAACAGGAAAAAATCAAACTTGTGTGATTAATAATGGAATAGACATTCTTTTTTATTTTCTAATTTGTCTTCTGTTGCTTCATTTCCACTGTAACATGTATTTAACCAGTATCCAGCAGGCAGTGGTTTAACTGTGTGTGCTGTACTAATTTAAACATAGCTCAGAACAAATTCTGAATGAGGCATGCAGGACAACTTCCTGTATTTATTTTTTACAAACCACCAGCTGCTGTAGGACTCCTCATGCCCACTCATGGCTGTCACACTTCTGATGCCGCTTCCCATGTTTTTATTGTGATTAAGTAAGATTTGCAAAACATTCTCAGACATGAAATCTGTATTTTAAGTCTCTGAAGCCTTCAGAGTTCATGTATTTTTTAGGAGACAGAAGCATCTGCGAGTTGATTTCAAGTATAAATAATTTAATCACAGGATTATTATTCTTTTAAGTCAGGTGCTGCTTTAAAATCCTGGTTATCTCTGAGGGGCAGCAAACAAATACATGGGTTTGACTCATTCTTGGACTTGTTCTTTGGTTTGCTGAGCTTTTTCAGAGTTCTTGGTTGGAGGCAAATACCTCTTTTAAAAAGAGGTCATCAATAATGAAGCGAGATTAATTTTCCAGGCTGTGTGGGGAGCAGTTCCTGCCAGGTCAGCCGTTTGCTCCTGTTTCATAAGCTCTGGGCAGGGTGAGTGCTGCTCATGGTTCTTCTCATTAGTCCCTTCCACAGCCAGAACAGCCTGGGCTGGCATTTTCAGTGTAGCTCTACTTACCAAAGGAGGTGACAACAGCCTTATTTACTGGAGCTGACTCTAGTATTTGTCTTCTAAACCAGGTCACTGCTGGTGCTTATTCTCATACTGAGTCTTACATAAAATAGGCTGAAGCAGAAAACGCCATCCTGGTTTCTGTATCCCCTCAATTGCCATTCAGCTGTTTTAATTAACAGCTTCTTTACCCTCAGTGAGTTTGCAGATGAGACTGAGGTTGCTGGGAGTATTGATCTGCTGTTGGGCAGGAAGGCTCCATGGTTGTATGTGGAGGGGCTGGATCTGAGTGTGGTCTGAGGATGAAGAAGGCCAAGTGCTGGGTCCTGTCCTTGGTCACAAGAGCCCCTGCAGCTCCCAGCTGAGGCAGAGGGGCTGGAAAGGGCCCGGCAGGAAAGGCCCTGGGGGTGCTGGTGGCAGCAGCTGAACAGGAGCCCAGCTGGGCAAGAAGGACCAGGGCACCTTGGCCTGTTCCAGCCCCGCTGTGGCAGCAGGAGCAGGGCAGTGCCATCCCCTGTGCTGGGCTCTGCTGGGGCACCACCTCCAGTCCTGGGGTCAGTTCTGAGCCCCTCACCACAAGAAAGAGCTCGAGGGGCTGGAGCGTGTCCAGAGAAGGGAACGGAGCTGGGGAGGGGCTGAGGGAGCTGGGAAAGGGGCTCAGCCTGGAGAAAAGGAGGCTCAGGAGGGACCTTCAGGCTCTGCACAGCTCCCTGCCAGAAGAGGGAGGCTGGGGGGCCAGGCTCTGCTCCCAGGGACAGGAGGAGAGGGAACAGCCTCAGGCTGGGCCAGGGGAGGCTCAGGGTGGACACTGGGGGGAATTGGACAGCACCAGTTCCTGAAGCAGAACTGGTATACACTGGTATACACTGGTGTATACTGGTGTATACTGGTATGTACTGGTATGTACTGGTATGTACTGGTCCAGACTTCCCAGGTATTTCTAAGAAGCTCAAGAGGAGCTGAGCCCAGGTGCATTTCTCAGGCTGTGGTGCAGCCTGGAGAGGGGTTGGGGAGGCACCACCAGCAGGACCCCACCCAGGGCGATCTTGCCAGAGCCCTTCAGCATTCACAGGTGATCAACAAAGCTGAAGCTGAGACAGAAGCTGAGACATCCCTGGAGAAAGACGTAAACTGAAATAAATGAGAGAAGGCACTGCAGGAAAAGATAAATAACAGCATGGCCACAGCAGGCCTTAAAGCAGAGTTTCCATTAGAGGCTGGCTTGCATCCAGGTGATGTGTCAGCTGTACCTGGAGTTTCACCCCTCTCCCCACCAGTAATTCCCATCCTGACACTTGAACACATCTGGCAGCAGTGGGAGGGCAGAGGGGGCAAGAGCATGGGCAGAGCTGACCGAACAGCTGGAGCTGATTGATAGCAGACAGCTCTTGGGCATGTCAGGAGGCAAACACACATTGTTGGAGGTGCATCCACAGCAAAGAGACTGACAGGAAAAAATGTGGTATATAAAGGCTGCAGCTGTTGGCAGGAATTTCTTATTTTCATGCTGATTGAATTATTTTCACTGTTTGAAATTTTCACTGTATGTATTTTCACTGTATGAAATCACAGTCACAGAATCACTGAATTATTTAGGGTTGAAGAGATCTCAGAGATCACTGAGCCCAGCCTTTGGCTCTACCTGTAAATGCCCCCACCCATCTCGCTCCTGATGTTCTTAGTCCATGGCCATGCCACTGGGAGGGTCACTGACATGTCATTGCAGGATATGTGAAACACAGAACACAATCCTTTCAAAATAATATCTAACCAACAATTAGCCAACTTCCTAACAGGGTGGTGACAAAACATTACCTGCCCTCCTGTTGGATGCTATGGGTTATTTTGAATTCACTTTTCCTCTGCAGTCTGTTGCAGGTCTGTTTTCATGGTTCATTTTATCCCCTTGGGTTCTCATAATGAGAACTATTTACTGATCTGGCTGCCTCCCAAGAAGAGTGTCCCAGCTCCCAGCCAGGAACAGAGACTTACCAAAGGCTCCTCATCTGGCAAGTCAGAAATGGAGATGGCGAAAACTCAGGTTCCTTTTTCCTTCAGCCTCCTCCCTGATGTTCTTCAGCTCTCTTTTTCTCCAGTCTTCCAGCCTAGAAGTTGTCCCACTCCCTTTTTAATGGTACAGGTTTTAACTGGTTGGGAGGTGAGTGGTAAATATGATGCCATGCTGGGAAGCAGCACACCAGGACTACTGAAACATTGCAAAACATTTTCACTGGTGCCAAAAATATTTGAGAATTAATCGGTTTCATCGCCACCCAACATTACCCCAGATTTCTGACACGAAGGATAAAAATAATCTAAACTGTTGGGAAGGCCTTCTGCTTTGGGTTTGTTTTGGACTTTGGAAGGAGGGAGACAGCTATGTGTCTTTACCCTGAAATAGGAGTTATTTTTTTCTGTGTCAGAAAACATGATTCACCAGGCATGCCAAGGAGAGCATTGCTCAGGAAAGAAATGACTGTATCCCCTCAGGCCCCTCCATCCCTTGTGGAGTTTCAAATCCTGGGGATGTGAGCTGGGAACACAACTGAGCTTCATGGGCTGTGTGAAGGGCGCTGAGGAGCATTGGGAGCAAGCCACAATGGGCCTGTCTGTGTCAGTGTTATCCTTCATACTCCATAAAAATTATTTCTCCTCCATGCTGATAAAAAACCAGGTTTGAAAGCCCCACATCCCACAGCTGCACTGGTAGGACCCCTCACAGAATCTTGAAGGAACCCTGGTTATCACACAGAGGTCCTGCAATCTTCAAACCTGATGTCACTCTTAATATTTTTCTTAATTTGCACGTCCTCTTCACTTGCAGACACAGGGTGTGATGGAATGTTCATCTTTCCAGAATCAGGACCAGCCTAGACTCATCCAGGGCTGAATTTCATCCAGCTCTGAATGGGAAATTTACTTCCTACTTGTTTTCTTACTGACTCTGAGCTCATCAAGATGAGATTCACTTGTATCTCACAGGGCTCCTGGCCTAGGAATACCCTGAAAGATATAACTGCAACTCTTTCATAGAAAACTGCTATCTAAATTATTACTGTTAATAATAATTATTATTTTCTGCTATAATATTACCTGTTATACCTGGACTTTGATTTTGGTTCCAACCTGATGTAAATCATCTCCCTACTTCGTGACAGAACAGAGTTCTTCCAGAGCAGAGCAAAGTAGCCATGATAAATTGACTGTGAGCCAGCTCCAGAGGCACAGGGAAAGCAAAATCCAGCTGTATGCAACCATTATGGATCAGGAATATTTAAGAGGCACAGGCATCCTCTATCCAACCTCCACTAGGAGCTTTTAAAATGAATTAGCTCAGAGCCCACAGAGGAAAAATAACATCAGGTTAACATCTCTGTTTCTGCTGCTGCAGAGCGTTCAGCAGGGAGGAGCCATGGGCTGCTGCTGGATGGCACAGAGCAGCCTCTGGATGGCAGGCTGAGCACTGGGAGACCCCCAGGGCAGCTAAAACCAGGGCTTAAAAGGAAAAATAAACACCTGAGTGTGATGAAATGTTTTGTTATGGAAAAGGGAGGATTTCCTGTGAATCATGCTGTGAGAACGTCTCACCTGTGATTTATCCAGACTTCAGCTGCAGTGGCAACTCTGGCTGCTGGCACCCAACTTCACCTGTTACCAGTGCATGAAGCACAGACTGAGTCTGAAAGGTTTCTGCTTTACTAGACACAATGTTATTAAAGATTTATCAACAGCACCATGGCAGAAAGCTTTTCCTTGTGACCACGGTGTATCGTGGCCTGTGCTCCAAAATAGAAAGGGCAGCTCAGGATTCACCCAAAATGCTCCCTCATGCCAAAGCAATGGTACAGAATTAACTGGAGCAGTGCTGCCTGCCTGTCATCTCCTGCCTCTGACTTCTTTCCATGTGGCTCTGATAACACCCCTATGTAGTGGGTGAGATGAAGATAGAGAGAAAATTACCACCACCCCGGATCCTGTCGTTTTGTAGCTTCATCAGGCCGTTGTTTCAGTCACATCCAAGGCTGGTGATGCCCCTGATGCTCTGCTCTGCTCCCTTCACCTGGCACTTGGCACAAGGCTGCTCCTGCAGAGGCAGAGCTGAGGCCACTGCCCAGCACAGCACCAGCACAGCCACAGCCTCCCACCAGCACAGCACCAGCACAACCACAGCCTCCCACCAGCACAGCACCAGCTCAACCACAGCCTCCCACCAACACAGCACCAGCACAGCCACAGCCTCCCACCAGCACAGCACCAGCACAACCACAGCCTCCCACCAGCAGAGCTGCTCCTCTCCCCAGAGCCACAAACCAGTGGGAAAGGGGGGAGTGCAGATACCTCGCTCAGGAGTCAGCCCACAGAAGGGCATGGGATGAAGAGGATCTCTCCTCCTGATGAAGTTATCTCAAAGAACCTCCTCCACAACCACCCAGGCTGTTCAACAGAATCCAATGCCAAGCTCTGGGGCTCCTCTTGTCCCCAAAGATGCAGCAGATGCAATCCTGGCTTTGGGTTAGTGGCTCCACCTAAGGTTTCAAGTTGTGTCAGGGGAGATTTAGATTTGATATTAGGAAATATTTCTTCATGGAAAGGGCTGTCCAGCCCTGGCAGAGGCTGCCCAGTGGTGAGGTCACCATTCCTGGAAGTGTTTATAAAACATGTGGCTGTGGCACTTCAGGTCATGGTTTAGTGGTAAGCACGGTGGTGGTGCCACATCAGCTTTAACTAGGTGTTTTCCAACCTTAACAATTCCATGATCCCATGATTCTCCTGCTACAGCAACAAGTTCCTTTGGTGGGATGTTCAACACTGCTCATAGAGGCACCCAGGCCAGCAGCTCCCCCTTAGCCAAAGAACAGAACAGTAACAACTCTGTCTGCATGGCTTTCCTTGGGTGGTCAGAGCAGCGATTAAAATGAACTGTGTGTCAAAGTCCCTTTGCAGCAAGCACCAGGGCACCTCCAAGGCTTCATGGGCAGTGATCCTTGGAACTCCCAAAATGACACAAAATCAAGGATTAACCCAAAGACACCCAGTCTTTGAACTGATGAGTCCTGTTTAACTCCAGATCCTTAAACATGCTAAGCAGAAAAACATGCACAGGTGAAAATGTTAAAAATCTGGTGAAAACACCCAGAAAAAATTAACCATGAAGAGGCCAGAGCCCAGGAGGGGTTGATCAGCAGCCACGGGAGGGCAACAACCACGGGGCACTTCTGCAAGAAGAGCAGTGTATTAACTACAAGAAAAACAGCAGCATTCTTCTCTCAGATTTTATTTCAATTTAATTGCCATTTAAAACCCCATTAAAAAGAGAAATACATTAATTTCCAGAGGATTCAAGAAGATGTATGTTCAGGGAAATTCCTACAGGACACAGGCCCTGTGAAGTGCAGCAAACTGAATTTTGGCAGTAGAGCCAAGGCATGGCATAACATGGAGTAGCATCTGTGCACACAGAATGGAAAAGCACCCACAACAACACATTTTGACCAAATATGTTTTCAATTTATTACAGTATGAGAAAAATAACAACAAATGAAAGAAACAAAAGGAATAGCTTTGCCTCAGCAAAGGCACTTTTAACTGCAAACTCCATCCAGCAGCTGTAAAGCAGCCCAGTGCATCCCAGAATGAATCATCACTTCATTCCCACTCCAGCTCATCAGGCATATCATCCTTCACCAAGTCCTTTAAATAGCAGTCTGGCATTAAATGGAATTGTGCAAATTCTTTGTAGGATCTATCACTTTGTTTCCCAGCTTTCTGCACACTGACGGTCCCGTCACTCGGCCTTAACCATTTCCCCAGCTCCTGTACAATTCCTGCTTGCAGCATGGGAGCCACAGTGCTCACAAGGATGGTCTCCACCCTCAGCATGGAATCACCTGCAACCCAGCTGGGACAGCTTCCCTGCACAGAGTGAAGCCTGTTTATAAATTAATCCAGCACAGGCCAAGCTATTCTTTGACTTGCCAGGGAAACTGAAAATTCTGCAGCTGAACAGCTTCATCCAAGACCCTGCTCGATTTATTCCCAAGTCCACAACACTGTTTGCCCAGAAGAACCATTGCACACGTGCTTCCTACAGGAGCTGAAAATGGAATTATCACTGTCCAGATGTGCATAGATGTGCTTGCAGAGAAGCAAGCTCCTGAAAGAAGAATATTCCAAGAAAAAGAATCTCTCCCAGCCTATGCACATGCCAGTTTTATAGGCAGCCTGACATTCACTGTTCAAATTAGTAACTGGCACTAATGAAGGAACATTGTTTTCTATTCTTTGCTGTTAGGTCCTTTAACACTAGGATGAACCAAGACTCTCTTTCTCCTTCCAGCTCTAACCCTTGGAATAACTCATTCTGGATCATTTTTTTCCCTGAGAGACATTCTCATCTCCAGCAGCCTCAGGAAGGGAGGAAATACAGCCCTAGCCACAGTAAATTTCCTGTACCATACTGGGAAAGAATTCTCCCAGCCCTGGCACAGGCTGCCCAGAGAAGCTGTTCTTGCCCCACCCCTGGAAGTGTTCTTTGGAAGCTCTACAGTAGTTTGATCTTATATTGTGGTGCCCAAACTTTCCCCAGCACTCGAGGTGAGGCTGCCCCAGTGCAGAGCAGAGTGGGACAATCCCCTCCCTGGCCCAGCTGGTCATGCTGGGCTTGGTGCCCCCCAGGACAGGGATGTCCCCTCTGGCTGCCAGGGCAGTGCTGACTCATAACAAATTTTCCATCCACCAGGGTTCCCAGGTCACTTTGCATGGTCCTGCTCTCCAGCATCTCCTTGCCCAGCCTGTCCAGGGCTGCCCCACCCCAGGTGCACAATCTGGCACTTTCCCCTGTTGAACTTCACTTGGCTGGTGACTGCCCAACTCCAACTTGTCCACATCTCCCTGCAGAGCCTCCCTTCACTTCACTGGGAAAGGGAAAGCTAAATTAATCTGGAACATTCTCTAGGCAGTCTGAAGTGCTTCAGGTCAGACATTGCTCCCCCTGGAACACCCCATGGGCTGGGAACCAGCACTGAGTGTGCCAGGGAACACGGCAGGCTGGGGTGAGGCACCAACAGGGAATCAGAAGACACAGTGACTACAAGGCACACGTAAAGGGAACTGGCCCCCATAAACTCCTCACAGGTGCCAGTGCCCACCTGAGCTCAGGCAGTGACTATAAAGGATCTGGACAAAACAGACAATTCTGAGACAGAGACACATTTCTTAGTAAGGCTTTGAGTGCATGTAAGTTCTTTTCTGAAATTAATTGTCACAAAAGACAGGCCAGAGTTCTTCAAAAAGTTGTGATCCTTCATTCCAGTATGGAAAACACATATGCAAACATGGCTTCAGACCCACACTCACTTAACAGATCATTTTAAAGCTTGTAATAAAAATACTTTTTATACAAATGATAAATACTTTAAGCATTTACAAAAATAAACGGTCCATTCCCATAAAGAAGGACATTATAACTGAAATTCCAAATACATCTGGAGGCAAGGCAATTATTGATGAAGCTAGTTAATAAAATCTTTGGTATGAGTACAGGACATTTTTATGCACCACTGGGTTCCTTTGGCCGATGGTACTGTACGGACATGCGAAGAGCTTTTCCTTAATTTCTTGACATGTCTTCCAAATACAACATACAAATATTTCTAGCATGTCTTCCTATGATAATAGGAGAAAAGCCCAAGATTCTCCTGGCTCTTCCTATGACTTGTGTTTCTAAAACAGAATGATGAGAGGAAAAAGAGAAAGTGAACACAGTTAAATTCTGTTTTAGCTAGGAAGCAGCATCTGCAAAAAATAAAAACCAATTGAAAATAACTCTAGAGGAAAGCCCATTTCCTTCCATTTGTAGAAATCAACTGCCAAGAGAGACAAACAAGGAATCTGTTCAGATTAAAGACTATCTTTAAAAAGAGCCTCTATTTGTGGCATCCTCTGTAGGCAAAATATCCATTATTTATACCTCAGCACGTCTGCTGTGCAATTTGTATCCGGAGCTCATTAATGAATGATGCCACCTTGACCCACCCTGCTAGGGAGCCCTGTCAGATGAGGAGCCCAGCTTGCTCCATCCCTGCTGAGGAAGGCATCCAGGAGAAGCCCCTGAGCAGCTCACCTGAGTTACAGCAGTACCAGAACAGGGCCAGTCCTGCAGCCACGCTGAAACACGCCAGGAAGAACACCGGGCCTGCAGAAATGGCAAGGAAACACTGAGACAGAGCAGGGCAGCACGAGTTCAGCTCAGTTCATAAATCACCAATTGCTATCAATGTGCATAATTAAGCATATTCAAATGAAGCTTAACATATTCACAGTTCTGTATGTTCTGTAGCTAATGTACTGTGAAGCACATTTACTGGATTGCAATTAATTTTTACTACAGTTGCTTTGCCACCATTCCCTGTTCCCCTCTGCTCATCTAGCTATACCCTATGGTATTTAAGGAAAAGTTTCCAAACCAAATCTCCTGGAAATTGCCTGCCTGGAATTACACACAGTTTAATGGTGATGGTCAGTACTGATGTTCAATAAAACCTTTCAAATTCATAACTTTTCCACTGACAAAACAGCATAAAGATTTATATCTGCTTTTTTACCCCATACTCTCTTTGTGGTTACTATCTCACTAGAAACAGAGATACAATTAAACTACACCTCTCTCAGCAGATACAATTAAGCTACACCCATCAACTTAAGGACAAGTGTACTGCCTCAACAAATTCTTACACTATATGGACAAGGACACTGGAGAAACAGCAAAGGAGCAAGGATTTGGTTGCTCCTTGGCATGGACCCTCCCAAGGAGGGTGGCTAGTGGCCAAACAATCTCTAGTCTGAGGCTGGCTCAGAAAAAAAAAAAAGAAAAAAAAAGTAATAAGTAAAAATAAAATAAAATATTACTTGTTTGTCTTATTTCCAAGCATTTTCTCTGTTCATCTTGTATTGTTATGCTGCAGACAGCAACAGCAATGTGGAAAGTCTGAACAGCAATTTGGTTCAATAGTCAGAGCAACACACCACAACAGAAAAATATACACAGTAGTTTCTGCTACTTATTTCAGTTTTCTCTCAGGAAACTACAAAAAAGGCATAATTCATTATTGTATCTAAATCTGTAAATAAAATACTGAACTTAAATGATACAACAGTTCATTATAAATTTTAAGAACTCTTCATCTTTATTTCAGAACTTCCTTTTCAAAACATCCTACTGTGAAAAAAATATTTGTCTCTGTAATCTGGCATTGAACAGAGGGAGGAAAAATAATTAATATGTTTTCCTAAGGAAAATATATTTAAGACCTTCCTTTCTGTCCTTGCTTTCAAATGATTTGTAGTTAAATTGAGAGCTTAAAAAAAAAATGAAAAAAAATTGAAAAGGATAAAAAAAGGATAAAAAGGATAAAAAAAAAAGTTATTGATGGCCTTATGCAAAATTAATAGACAGGCATTGAAAGAATCACAGGAAATGAAGAAGACATCATAAACCAAAGTAGTTGTTACATGAAGTGCAAATTGCATGATATAATAAATTGCATCATAATCTGAAAAGCCATTCCATCCAGTGACACTGTATGATTTATTTACCCCTGTCATTTAGCATATATTGCTCCTTGTCAGTGTCTATCTCTGTGGGATCTGGGGTTTCTAGAAATAAAAGCAACACATGAAAAGTTAGTACTCAGCTCAAGCAAACAAACATAATCAGCACATGCAAAATGGTGGAAAAAACACATTTCAGAAAAATATCCAATATTGACATAAAGTATTAACCCCTCCAACAGTAAATCATTGCTAGAGTTAAAGCTGGACTGATCAAAAGACATGGGCACAGAGTCACCTGAATGCAACTACAAATAGCTGCAGCCCCACCTCTCATCTGCTTAAGCACTGACAACATAAATAACATTACACTTGTTTCCCAGGTTAGGAAAGCAGGAGATAATCCTTCACAACACCAGCAATTTTCATTGTAATACATACAAACTCTTTGGTCCTAGATGCACCAATCTGAAAACACCTCTATAATATAAAGTATAACCGTTCTTTGTTCTTGAGAAAATCCCTGGGCATTGATGTATTTAGCAGGTAAAGCACATAAAAAAACTTCTTGGTGCAGATTATTTACAAAATGCAGGTCTCAGCTGAACACATACCCAGCTTCTTCAAAACTCTGTAGGTTTTACATGCTAACATTTGGCACAAGTAATTCTGGCCTCTATCTTTCTGCAAATTCTATTAGAAAAGGAGGTTGGCCTTAGGACAAGGTGTTCAGTAGTTCCCAGTCTGTCCAGAAAGACCCTTTCAGAGATGCCTTTGCCACAGAGATGTGGAGATCATGCTGTCTGCAGCAGGGGTGTGCACAGCTGTCACCAGACTTGCCAGAGGAGTGATCTTCCAGAACACATAACCAAACTGCAACACTGTTTTAGCCAAACCTTTCTGTAGTCATAGAATCACAGAATCATAAAGGTTGGAAAAGACCTTTACCATAAACAAGTCCAAATGTCAAAGGGTTAGGAAGCTTAAAAAAAAGAAAAAAAGGTAAGGGCTCTGAATCTGGCTGTCAATAGGGAAGAATTTAAGACTGACGGGTTTCAACTGCTCTCCTTCTTTTACGTGACACCAGGATCTAGAAGAGGTGCCTCGACAGGGGACCATCCATCTCCCCTGCTGGGGATATCCCTCTCTGCAGGGGAACAGGACACGGCCCTGGAGCAGGACAGAAGCATCTGGAGCCCTTTGCTGTAAAGCCTGTGAGTCACAGGAGCAGCAAGGATTGCTGCAAAGCCTCTGTGAGCACAGTGTGCTCCTGGCAGCCTCACCCAGCCTGCCCCTTTGAGGGGCTGCTGGAATTCCAGCTAGAGAATCCTCACACTGCACAGGAGAGCACAGACAAATCTCTGCCGCTTCTATCGCTGCGTGGGGCTGATCTGAGCCTTTATCCCTTCAGTCTGTGTCAGCATGGAGAGAAAAACATTTTCTGAGTCCCTTGGGAACTCCAGTTCGCTGCCCACACCGTGTGCCTCACCCCCCCTCTAGTGGTAATGCTCGGACATTACCAGACACTTCACTGGCAATTTACACTCCAGGCAAAGAAATTCTGTTCTAGCACAAATTTTAAAGCTGTCTTAAATATGAAAAATATTTGAAAGGATTTCCTTTGTTGAAAAAAATCTGTCCCATGTATAGCTGCATGTAGCTATTACAGAACTCTGTCCTGGCCATGGTTCATCCATCATCAGTAATTTCTCCAGCTGTTTGTAATGCTGCTTGTTTCAGCTCAGCCTGCATTTACAACAAAATCCCTATGTTAGGGATTTTCCTTTTTCTTTACATTTACAAATTCTAGTGGCAATTCTGTAAATGCTTTGTGCTAAATTTAACACTACTGCTAAGAGCATTACAGAATGGTTTGAGTTGGAAGGGATCCTGAAGACCATCCAGTTCCAACCTCCTGCCATGGGCAGGGACACCTCCAGGGACCAGGGTGCTCAGGACCCCACAGATCTTGGCCTTCAACACTCCTTGAGCACTTCCCAAGGAGTAACACTTGAGTAATGAATTGTGCATGTTGGACTTCTGAAGCATAATGCCTTTAATACTGAAAATGTCCAAGTTCACTTCAATGAGAAGTTACTCCTCATATTGATGAAGGAGCTTTTCCTGAAGCATCAAAGTTTTAGCTCAAAAAGCTGCACAGATGTTTCTTGACCATTCAATCCAGAATGCAGACATTTGTTTTAATTACAGAACTCTAAGAAGCAGCAAGCATATTAACACAATCATCTCAGTATTTATTTCTTAGGTCAACAGAAAGAAACTGCCAAAACAGTAATGTTTTAACTCAGTTTTTAAATTATCCTCATCCTTCTGAGGATGGTAACATAGAAGAGTGTACCAAGATAACAGAGAATTTCATGACTTTTGGTTACTGAAGTCAGCAGTTTGCAGCAGCAGCAGCAGCAAAACAGTTTTTGGGTGCCACAAGGAGCTGTATGTTTAACAAGAAGCACTTCTACACAGCTATTTGTTATGCAGAGTCTGAACATGAGGGACCCTAACCCTGCCTATTCATGGCTACCTGAGGAAAGCTTGGAGTCATCACGTAAATCATGTGCAAGGATGAGCACATTTCTGCTCTAGCTAAAAGTGAAAACATCCCACAGACCCTATCCAAGTCTCCTTGTAAAGCTACATTTTCAAAAATGGCTTGTAGAACGTGCTATTGAACATTAAAAAAGCTTCAACTCTTACACATCAAAACAATCCTGAAATTTTACTCTTAGTGACTACACCAAGACTTCTCAAACAGCTTTTAATTCATAAAGCCTGTCTGCTAACTGCTAGTCAGCCTGACAGAAAAACCTGTTTCTTGAGCTCTACCCAAGTCAAAATGACAGATCCAAGACAATCTGATTGAAGAGCCTGTTCCCCAAAGTGCAAGACTTCTGCAAGGTGAACATCAGATCAAAGCATTGCCTTCGGTCTGCTGCGAGGCTCAGTCAGCTGGGACTGGGGCTCATCTGAGATTCTGAGGCTTCCCCAGTTCTCAAGGATTCAGGTATGGATGTGGGTTAACTCTGTAGCAGGCAAGAAAACGGTCTTCCACCAGTTTGTGCTGGGTAATACAAATTGCTTCTTTCAAAATCAAAGACAAAATTAAGGTAATTACAATTTTACATTACAAAATCCCTTTACAGCTTTTGGAAAACTCAAGTCAGAAGGAATTAAGGTATACCCCAAAAATTATTTCAGTTACTTGTTTACTTATATTTTTTATAACCTGTTTAGGTTGTTCAAATGGCCTGCACTGCATCTGAAGCGAGGTTTTGTAATACACTGGTGAGGAAATCCACAAATCAATCAACTTACAAATTAACTTACTCAAGATTTTCCTGCTTGGTAGGTCATTAAACAGCTGCTCAGCATTGATCTGCAGAGCCCTGTAAAACTCCTGACAGTGTCTGTCTCCTTTCTTTTGGAGGTGTTTTAACAGATCTGAGAGTCTGGTTTGGAGTGATGCCTTTGGGTTCCTGAACTGTAAGAGAAAAGCATTTATCAGAAAAGAGATTAAAACAGAAGAGAGATTAAAAGATCAATTTTACATCACTATGCCAGGGAACAAAGTTACAGAGCTTCTTTGATATTTACTAAAAGAATGAGCCAAAAAGGGAAACCTAAAAAGGACATACATGCACTGCACAGCACTGAGCTCCATGTGGTCAGCACAGTCTGATGGAGAGCACATGGCCTCTCCTGCCTTTTTCTGAAAGACACTCTGCATTTGATGTCTTCCCTGCATCCAAGCTGACATGGTACTTGCTATCCTACAGTTTAATTCTTACAGCTGTAGATAGAATATTTCAGCAAATCTTATAATATGAAATAAAGTTTGATGCTTTCAAGTTTGCCCTTAGCTCCCTAGTAGTGATCCCCAAAAAGGCAGTTTATACTGCTTATCCTAGTCTCAACACTGGAGCGTTCGTCATCCCAAGATTTCCTATTTCATTGTTTTTTTATTTGCAACACAGTTAACTGCTGTGTACCCACTTCAATAGGCACAAAGTCCCATTACTTAGGTTGGCAAACAGCTGCAGAGGAAAATACATTTTTTCTGTAGTGCTAAATGTGATGAGTATTAGGAGACCTTACAAAGAGAAGGAAACTGCAGCACTAGCCTTACACATCAAACTTATTTCCATTTATTTTGAAAAAATCCAAAGCCATTCTCAGCAAAGCATCATATTTCATAGCAGCACAGTGGATAACCTTTGGAGCACACTGAGCTAGGAACAATTGCTGCTTGAGGGGGACAGGAATGTCACAGACCTTACACAACACTCCTTATTCTGACAAAATTCCCACAGGGTCTACCAGATACAGCTGGTTTAAGCTTCTTAAACACTCAGTAGACACAAACTTGCCTGGACCCATAAAAAAACAGTTCATTTTTGCCTAAGTGCAGAAGTCACAAATCATGTTTCAGATTCTTTATGGATTTATTTTGAACCTCTTGAGGGAAGTGGCATAGACAGCCTCAGTAAAATGATCTAGCTCTGCTCTACACCACAAAACACTAACTGTTCCCATGGAATTTGATTATGGTAGAATTGGACCTACTTTTCCTGATGTTAAAATATTGATATGCCAAAATCCTGTGCAGACATGAAGCCAGCAGAGGCCAAGTACAAACTATTACAAGTAGGATTGTGGAAGCTCTTAGTTGACTTTAATTTTGTCTCTACACAAGATTAGAAGCTTTTTCTTCCTAAAAAGAGCTATCCATTTTTGAAAGCTTCATGTCAGGGAGGGTGGCCTTCCTCCATATGTGGTGGCACCACTGCAAGATATTAACTCCATCTACTTCCCACAGTTCCACACTTAGTAGTGGGACTAACACCCCCCCACTTCTCTACCAATACTTAGAATTATTAATTGATTACCAAAACTGATTGAGCTAGTATAGATGATTTTGTGGGCAGAGATGGATGCAGCACAGATCACGTGGTGTGCCACTCCACACCACCTCATGTGAGGAGACAGGCACGCCAGGCATGTGGTCACAGGATGGGTGAGCACTGGCTGCAGACTGCACGCCCCCAATCGTGGCAGGGACCGTGGCACTGAACTGCTGCTGAAGAGAGCATCCTCTCTCATGACCACTTGGCACAGGGAACGTGCCAGCCCTGTGACTGCTCCTCTGACATGAGGTGCCAGATACAACTGGTCAGCAAGCAGGAGGTGAGCCAGACTGGCTGCATGTGGCACCAAGAGTTGTGTCGGGAAGAGGGTGACCCGCAAAAGCAACACAGCACTCAGAGACACAGCAAAACTCCTCAAATTACCTTTTCTGCTTCTTCATTGGTAAGAATTTGGGGATAGACTCTGTTAAGCTGAAGAACAATTTTATCAACCACTTGCTCATTCAGTCGGCTAGTGCTTGTCAGGAAATGCATGTCATGCTGCAGCCGTTGACAATACGACTGATCTAGAGATAAAATAACACAGAACAAAACACAGCAGTTCATTAATAAGCCCTTTTAAAATTCCATAAATTTCATTTTCCTACCAGTGATTAAATAGCTAAAATAAAATTATCACCACCACCTAGTATTAGAAAGCTGAACTATCTGTTAGGGAAACACAACAATGTCATGTGCTTTCAAAGACCCATCCACTTGAAATTACACAAATCCAAACTTCTGGCTGGTCACTCCTACTGCCTCTCTCTTTCCAAAGGGAGAAGGCTCTAAATCATTTAGAAGTCAAGCTGTGATGGATATTTAATCAAATACAGCCCTGAAGTTAATAAATCACTGAAGATAAATTCTTTATCACTTCTGAAGTCAGATTATGACGTTTATGACAAAACAGAACTTTCAGGTTATATTGGTTGCCAAAAAACCCTTCATAATTTTGATTCTGCTTAACTATTAGCATAAAAAACTTCATGTTGCTTTCTGTAAAAGAAACATCAAACAGGATTTTGTTTGTCACACTCCCCTGCATATATTTCTCTATTATCTACTTTCACCGCCCTTCTGGATAAAGCCACAGGGCCCTAAGGAGCTGCACTGCCATTTCACATTTATCATAGTAAATTAATAAATACAGCTTCATTTTAAATTTGTAGACTGAGATCAGCCCTTCCTTGCCACACTGCAACATGCAAACACTCTCATCCATACCTGGGCCCTGGGACCATAAATGCTGCCAACCACCTTTAGTCAGGCAGGTACACATTCCCAATTAATAACTCCACTAATATTTACATAAGGACTTTGGACACTGTCTCTGACACTACTGTGTCTTTATTATGGTTTCATCTTTGGTTTCTTATCAAGCAAACAAACAGGATCACTAAGGAGATAAATTTAACAGACACAAAACCCAATGCAGCTCTCTGACATTCTCTGTAAAACACAGAACTTGCAAACATCCATTCCAGAAACCTCAGTGGTGTCTGCTGTACAGTGAAAACAGGAGCTGCTACTTCCTGTAAAACTCCTAGGTGATTTTCATAAACATTATACAGGAAAGCTGGAAACCAAAACCTGCAAGGTTTGGATCTGATGATCAAACCATTTGTACATGTCCATGACAACTCCTTTCAGAAGCATCTCAGGAAGAGAGGGAAAAGTCTCTCAACAAAATGTTAGCTTAACACTAATTTAGTTTTGCCTTTTCCCTTTCAAGAGCCTAAGAAAGGGAGGCCAAGGATTTAAGAAGGAGACTGGCTGCAAAGAAATGGTCTGAGATGATCAAATGGCACTGGTTACCAAACACACCTGCAAAGAGTCTGCTCCTCTGGGCTGGAAGGATGACAGAAAGGTGAAAAACAAGATGCTGCCCTCCCCTGCTACTCTCACCCACTGCCATGTGCTACTGCAAGTCACCAGAAGTCAAAAGTCTCTGACAGCAAGTCAAGAGAATCAAAGAATCATTTAGGTTGGAAATGAACCTTAAGACTATTAAGTCCAACCATCCATCCAGCATCACTATATTCAAGCACTAAACTGTGTCCTGGAGTGCCACATCCACACAATTTTTGAACATTTTCAGGGATGGTGACTCCACCACTGCCCTGGGCAGCCTGTACTAGGGCAACCCTTTCAATGAACAAATTTTCCTTAATATCCATCCTAAACCTCTCCTGGTGTAACCTGAGGCCATTACCTCTCATCTTTTCGCTTGGTGCTTGGGAGGAGACTGACACCCACCTGTCAGGGAATTGTAGACTTCAGTAAATCATTTTTACTTGAAACAGTTTTTAAAAGACAAGAGGAAAACGTAACAAAACTGCAGTGAGCAAGACACTAAAAAGCATCTGAAAGTAGAGTGCGACATTAGGTTACACACAGTCCCAGACCTCCACGATGGCTGAAACAACCGGGCCTCCGAGTCACCTGTGTGTTCCCCAGGTGCAGAGCGAGCCGGCTGGAGGCTGGGGTTAAACAGCACATTTACACAGCCAGTGTGCCGGTGTGTGGGACGTGGCACTGCCGGGGACACCGGAGACACCGGGGACACCGTGCCGGGGCTCCGCACTCCCCTGCTGCCCGCGGCCAGNGCCGAGCCGGGGAGCGGAGCCCAGGGCGGGGGAGCAGCCGGGGCGGGTCCCCTCAGCTCCCCGAGCCCAGCCCGGGGCTCCCAGCGCCTTCAGCTTCCAGCTCAAGCAGTTCTTCAAATGTCCCTGCTCACCAGGCCGTGCCGTGAATTTACACTTGCACAGCCACGAGTTTTTAAAGAATTAATGCACGATTAGCAAAGCCGCGATGTCCAGAAGTAAACACACTGTCCAGAACACCATGTCTACACCTTCACAACACACATGTAGAATTTCTGTTTTCCCTGTGCTGCAGCACAAGGCGTGTTGAAATGCAGCTGGACACGTAAGGTTCATTGGGCAGACAGCGACTCAAGCCCAGCTTCTCTCATAGAAAAAGTTGCAGTGAAACATCTAATTAATTGGGATATTTAACTTTGTGAGGGGAAAAAGTACAAGCAAATTTGTGGATGTAAAACCTGCCATTTGCACTAAATGTCATCAACAATTAATTACCTAGCGAGGGATGGAAGAGAATATGCCTTGCTAGGGATAAATATGCAGAACATTAAAGCATTGTCAAATGCTGTGACATTCACGGTGCATATCCTTGAGTAGATCGGTAGAGTATAAACACCCTGAGTTTATCCTTTCTACCCTCTGGAATCCAGATCTTCCTAACAGCATGAAAATAATTTTTAAAATTATTATTATTATTGCACATGGAGACCTCGATCACGCCTGCATTGGTGTGATTTTGGCAATGTATTTTAGTGAAGAAATAGGAACATTGTGAAAAGGAACTTGGAATTTTGTAATTCCTTTTGTCGTATATTTTTAAGACCATTTTGGATGGGGCTGAGCTACCTGGCACTGTGGAAATGGCAGGGGTTTGGAACAAGATGATCTTTAAGGTCCCTTCAACCCAAACCATTCTCGTATTCCACTATTCACTTCCATATGTATATTAAAACACTACAGCAGGAGGGGCTGCCTAATACTAAGAAGCAGAGGGAGAATACCATGCTGAGGGTTTTTTTATGATCCCTTTATACCTCTGTGAATTCATTGCATTTTGTACTCTGCTAAAAAGTTGCCCTGGAAACCTTTAGAAATTTTATAAATTTTAAATTTAAAAGCTTTCAGAACTTTTTACACGATGGGAATCTAAGCCACTGAACAGAAAACCTGTTGGTCAATCTTAGTGTGCCATGGACTGAAATCTCCGATACAAATCTAAATGTTTTTCAGCAAGCAGTGATTCCAAGTGAGTGATTCAGAGTGAGTGGAAGCGAAAATCAATCCCTGAGGAATGCTGCGATGTACGGAGCCACTGTGCACGGAGGTATTTTTGTCCTGCAGACACGGACAAATCCACAAGAAGAGGAGGTTAAAGATATCTCCTCCTCATGCCGGTGGCACGCAGGACCTCTGCAGCGGCTGGGCTGGCTGTCACAGCCCTGCACAGGAGATCCTGCCGAGCCTCCGTGCTGCCCGGAGGGAACCAGCGGGCTGGGGCTGGCCTGAGTGCCCTCCCCTGGGGACACTCACAGCCGGTGACGGTCACAGCCGGTGACACTCACAGCCGGTGACACTCACAGCTGGTGACACTCACACCCGGTGACACACCCGGTGACACTCACAGCTGGTGGCACTCACAGCCGGTGACACTCACACCCGGTGACACAGCCGGTGACAGTCACAGCCGGTGGCACTCACAGCCGGTGGCAGTCACACCTGGTGACACTCACAGCCGGTGACACAGCCGGTGACACTCACAGCCGGTGACACTCACAGCCGGTGACACAGCCGGTGACAGTCACAGCCGGTGGCACTCACAGCCGGTGACACTCACAGCCGGTGACAGTCACACCCGGTGACACTCACAGCCGGTGACACTCACAGCCGGTGACACTCACACCTGGTGACACACCTGGTGGCACTCACAGCCGGCCGGGGAGGGCACACCCGGCGGGCACGGCAGGGGACGGGAGCAGCGGCGCTCGGAGCGCTCCGGGGCTCGGTGCGAGCCCCGCTCCTGACAGAGCCCGGCCTCCCCAAGCCCGGTTCATTTCAGAGCTCTGACTCCCAATTCAGTGGCAGTGCCGAGTGACCGCCACCGCAGCGGTTCATTTCCCAGCAGACACATTTCCTGCTTAGCTGATCTCAAAAGCTTCTCCCCGCTAAACCGATTTGTTTATTTGAGTGACTTATCTGGCTCATTAAATACCACCCTTGTCCTGGCAACATCATCATGTAGTGTTTGGTTTTATCTGTTAATTGTTGAATCACAGGACACTTTGTTATATTCCCACCGCCAGAGGACTGGATCTCTCTGGCAACAGATTGAGTCCAGATAGCGCAAGCAGCTCCTCTAACAGTCTTTCTTTGTGCTTAAGAAAACACAATAAAGTATTTCTTAAAAGCTCAGATTGCGCACTAGGCTCCCTTCAGCAAGTTTTAGTCAATAATTTACAAAAACAAGCTCTAAGAAGGGGAAGAAAATGTGAAGGCAGTGACCGACTGGCCACTCCCGTCAGAGCCACTTCCCCTCTGGCTCTGAACTCCTGTTCCCACAGATTTCCACCTTTCAGCCCGTTGTTTTGCCCGAATTCCTCCTTACAAATGTGCACTTACAGCTTCTGTAGAGCATCATCCATGGGTGTCAGGGCGGGTGCCGAGGCCGGCACACGTCCCACGGCGGTGCAATCCTCCTTGCGGGATAAGCAGAGGTCACGGGCAGCTTTGGGAAGCGAAAGCAAACGGGGAGGGAGCGAGTCCGGCTGTGACAGCCCGCAGAGCTCTGCCAGGAGCGATGGGCGGCTGCTCCTCTGCGCCTGGCAGCCAGCAGCAATTTGCTGGGGATTTTAAAGGACGTGTAATTAGCTCTGAGAACCAAAATGTTTGTTTACTCGAAGTTATGAAAGCTTTTTTTTTTGTGTGTGCGCTAATAATTTCTAGTGTTGCTTTGCATATAAAATGGGTTCTTTTCCAATCTTATTTATATAGTCAGAGTATGATTATTGGTATGATTACTTTGTTGGTTAGAAGGCAATGAAGAAAAAAAGTTCTCTGACTCCAAACACAAAAGGAGAAGCTGTGCTGCAAATTCCCAGCTCTTTATTCCCAAGCAGTTAAGCCAAACCATGAAATGGGAACAGAACTGACTTGGATGAAATAATCTCCCCCCAGAGGGTGCTGGCACTGCCCAGGCTCCCCAGGGAATGGTGACATTCCTGAGGCTGCCAGAGCTCCAGGAGTGTTTGGACAGCGCTGCCAGGGATGCCCAGGGTGGGGTTGTTGGGGTGTCTGGGCAGGGACAGGGGTTGGGCTTCATGATCCCTCAGGGTCCATTTCAGCACATGAAATTAATTCAATGATAAGAATGAGAATTCAGTGATATCCTGGAGTATCCATACCCCTGGTGAGTTTCAGCTTTCTGTGTATTCACCTTGTACACGGTGAATTACACACCCCTGATTCTGCTCTATGATACTCAATCCTTGGAAATTTTAACAGCATTAGTAAAACAAGAAGATGGTGCAGATAATGAAAAAATTCTGTATCTCTTGTTCCTGGCATAAGGGGAAAAATGGGCATGTAGAACAGTTCCAAGTATACTAATCACAAATAGTCCTGGAAAATATTGCACAGATTCTGGAGAATGAACAGCCAGCTTCACAAACATTTCAATACTGCACTTGGCTTCTTATCTTACTCCTTGTAAAGCACAAATCAAATTGTACACATAAGAAAATATACTCAACTAATTATTAAAAAAACCCCAAACAATTGAATTCTTTGAAGACAGGAAGCAAATAAAGCTGTTAGAGCATACTCCTCTTAAAACAGGTGTGTAAATAAACAAGATTTGGCAGATTTGGCAAACTGATGTTCTGCAGAGCTGTGGGAAAGGAACAAAGCCACTTGGGGTGCATGTCCTCACGTGGAAGTCACCCCTGTGCCAGCTCCAGGCCTCGTCTGATCCCCACAGCCAGGAATGATGGAGAGGATGGTGTGCAGCCAGCATGAAACCCACAGCCTGACTGAAGTAGAGGCCAGTACCAGGCATGGGTTAGAAGCCACTGCAGACTCCAGTTTATAGATACAACGTATGTCCTGTGTGAAACACTTCTGTGAGCAGTGTGCAAGCCACCAGTTTCATAAAATACACAAGGAAATGCAAGTGTTCTGTAGCAGAAATGGGAGCTTGAATCCAGCTGGAACCCCTGGCCAGCAAATATTTAGGAGTTACAAGGTTTTGAGTGTCTATTTTAGTCTCAGCTGCTCCCATCTCCTTCCTGCACAGCGCTTTTCCCCCTTCTGACAATAAATTATGTTTGCATGAGCAATAAAGCTAACTCCAGGGGGTGCAGCCATCAGAGCTAACCTCCCAGAGGGAGCCAAGCCACAGATCTTACACAAACAGTTTGGGTGTTGTTTCCTTATCTAGGTGTAGCTCTGCTGCCTCTTGCATGAGCTGCCCAAATAAATGTTAGCCATGCAGTGCTCTGGCACAGGGACAGTGCATTCACCTGCCTTTTGGGGTGCTTCCCAGGACTGCCAGCATCCATGGAAGCTCAAGGGTGCACTTTGTCCCTCAATCCAACATTACTCAGCTTTGCAAGCCAGCAGGAGCCAGGCTGTCTGCTCACACAAAGTGCTGACCCAAACATCCCAACCGGGAATTTATTTCACTTGCAGTCATATTATTGCATTTTAAAGCCACATAATAAAATTAAAACACCGGGAAACTAAATCATGGAATTCAGTGAACATAATCATAGAGATGGGAAGAGGAAGGAAATCCAAAGGAGCTGCAGAGAGGCAGGATCAAGGATATCTTGACCACCCCTCACATGTTTACTTTAAGCATAATATTGCCAGCAGGACAGAACACCTCCCTCCCATGCCTATAGCTCTTTTTAATCCTAGGTTGTGATGTATATTCTTTGTGAAGGAATTGTTTAACCATTTGTTCTACACTTCTGGGGATCAGATAAACCCTTCCATTCTGGTACTTTTGAGGTTCTCTTCTCTCCCCTTATTAGATTTGCCCTTTCCCATTTTCTAAGGGCCAGGCCCTCACCACCCTCACAGCCAAAAATTTCCTTCCTGTACTGCATCTAACCCTCTGGCAGTGAAAAGCCATTCTCCCTCGTCCCCAGTCCCTCTCCAGTTCTCCTGGAGCCCCTTTAGGCCCTGGAAGGGGCTCTGAGCTTTCCCTGGATCTCCTCTTCTGCAGGGGAGCACTCCCAGCTCTCCCAGCCTGGCTCCAGAGGGGCTCCAGCCCTCGCAGCACCTCTGTGGCCTCCTCTGGGCTCTCTCCAGCAGCTCCAGGTCCTTCCTGTGCTGGGGTCCCAGAGCTGAACACAGAGATCTGGGTGAGATCCTACCAGAGCAGAGGGACAGAACCACCTCCCCTGCCCTGCTGCCCACACTGCTGGGGACAGAAGCTGTGACAGGGGATTGAAAACTGCAGGCAAAATAGTTCACAGCACAACTATGTCCTGATAAACAATGACTAGTATTAATTGGATTAACTCAGAACTTAATTGGGTGGAGTGATGGGAAGTACATTCATTCTCCTTTTGCAGAGCATGGGAAGAGTGTTGCAGGGTGTACATGGGTGTAATGTACAGTAGAACTGAGCTTATTAGAAATAAGAAAAAATTCCTCTTTTTCTGCTACTTCCATGTTACTGAATTTCAAGCACGTGTTTTCGATCTCTGCAGAGTATTGCCAGGATAGAAGAGGGTATTTGCCAGCAAGTTACAGTAATTTGAATTTCAAAATGGAAGCTTCAGACCTGCAGGTCGTGAGAGGATGCCTGGCTCATACCAAGGGGATATACTATAAAACAATTACTGCAGCTTGCTATAAGTTTGTGTTTCTACCTATGAGAGGGATGTGATGATACCCATTAAACAGCTGATGACAGTATTAAGTAAGGCTTCAACTTGAACAAAAATAACTATAAGTAGGATTTATTTGCATATAAACAGTAGAAAAAGAGCCATATCAGATATTTAACCTGACTTAACTATTTAAAAGGGACAAAACAAGAAAAAAACCCACCTTGTTTTCTCATACGATGAACAGATTAACAATAGGAAAAGAAGGCAGGCTTTCAAAAGCTACCTCAGCCCTTTATTTAGAGAGCTCTCACAGGGATGATGCTGCAGTGATCCCGAGCTGGCTGCTCCAGGAAGGCTGCACCACTGTCTCCACTCACACAGCAGCTGCTCTCGCACTGGGACACCTGCAGGAGCTACAGGAGGTCAGGGATGGGGGCCCAAGGTGTGGCACAGCACAGCACCACATCCCTCCCTTTGTCATCTCCTCTCCTGCAGGCTGGCAGACCTGCAGATGGGCCTTTGACCAGTCTCACATGGTCCCTAAATGCAGAGCAGATTAAAGACCTCCCTCATCCAAAACGATGGGGCATTTAATTAAAACCATTTTTTGGTAGTTCTACCGTGCTACTTTGTAAAAATATGGGGGAGTTTTATTTCTGAAATTCTTACAAAACCCACTGGTTCAGAGAAGACTGGAATCTGAGTGTTGTGTAATTATTATTGGCAACCTCATATGAGGCAAATATGCAAACTGGGTACCACTCTCTAGCTGTGCAGAAGGACATTATGCTTTTGCCATGGTCACACTGCACAGCACACAGCAGAGAACAGCTCTGGACCGACAGCCTCAACATTCATATATTTATTTGTATGAGACCTTGAAGCATTTCTGTTAAATAACCATCTTGGAATATATAAAACTTACAATTCATATGAATAATGAACTATCTATGTTGTCTTTAAGGCACATTTTCTATCAAAATTTCATTTTGGTCCAGACAAGCAGTTGCATTTCAGACACCAGCTATCCAGGTATCTGGCAGGTTTGTTTGTTGTAGCTATCCTTATGACTGTAGACTTCAACAACGTGTATGGAGTTCACTGTCTGCAGTGTGGTGTTGTGTCTTGGTCCTGCGTGTGTCCCAGGAGCACCACTGCTCTTGGCTGCCTTCAGCAGGTGACTGCTGCCTTTGCAACACCTGGCAACGACATCATCCCGACTCCACTCTTCCTGGCACCTGTGAGCACAAAGGGAAAAGTTATTTCTGTTTCATTCATTCTGGTGAAGATACAGAATTTGTGCATTTTATTGGCACATCAGGCACACAGGTGTTTCACAAATGACTTGTGCTATAACATAAGGAATTGCTTCTCCCAGCATCAAAACCAGTTGGGTTTTATGTTTGTTTTTTTTTTTTACAAAACCAGAAGTGGGGCAAATAACTGTGTCATGGTAAGAGCCTCAACAAGCTCTCAAGTACCTTTTTGCTGGGTACTAACTGAGCACTGAGCACCCCTGTGACCTGCCATCAGGAAACAGAAGCTAGGTGGGGTATTGCCCCACACCTCACTGCCGAAAGAAAATCTTCTGAGATACTTGCTGCTGTGCATTTATTTATTTTTTTATAGTATAAGGAACTCAGTTCCATCTTCTTGAGGTGATAGTCAAAGGTCAAAATAAAAATCAAATCAAAGCAGCACATACACAGAGAAGGACTGGAATTAAGTTTTATTCAAAACAACCTTTGATAAAAAAAAGTCTTTGTAAATTGTCCTGCCTGGATTACAGCTCTGTCAAGTCCAGGTATTCTGGTTCTAGAGCAATAAATATAGCTCACCTGGGCAGAAGGCATCCCACCCTGATTATTTTCCGATATAAAGCCCTATGTTGTGAAATACTGCAATTACCCATAGCCCACCACCAACTCAGGAACCCAAACTAGCTAAAAGTGTACTTGGAGAAGAACTGTACTCCTGGCTTAGCAACCCGTTCCTCCCATCTCAGGAGCTATTAACCCTTCATTGACATCTGTCAGCACAGGGTGCCCAGAGCAGCTGTGGCTGCTCCATCCCTGGAGTGTCCAAGGCCAGGCTGGATGGAGATTGGAGCACCCTGATCTTGTGGAAGGTGTCCCTGCTCATGGCAAGGGGAGGAATGAGATAGTCCTTAAGGCCCCTTTCCATCCAAACCATTCCATGATTATGTGATTCTGTAAGTGTAGGATTAGACAGTAGGCACCTCTCTTCCCTGCAATGGATCAAATCCTGAGCACATCAGAGGGACAGTGAAGCCAGTGGGGTTTCACCTCAGCAGAGGATAAGAAGAGCTATTAAGAGGGTTGCAGTGTCACCAAGGGATAACTGTGCACGCAGTGGGCTTTGCCCTGCGTGGGTGACCTTCAGTCAGACACAGTCCTCAGCTTGCTCTCTCATCCCTGGAAGCTCTGTACTTTGTCCTGAATAAGTGGGACTGTTTTTTTCAAGCACTTCAACTTTCTTTAACTCTAGTTCCCAACTGGGCTACTTCAAAACATCACAGCAAGAGGATCAGAACCCTTCTCTGCACTCTTACCTGGCAATATAAACCTGCCCTGGGTGCTGCACAGCCAAGTACATGATGCATTTGACAAGGACAGCCTTTATCTGACAGATAAAATTTGGAGCTCCCATCAGGGGAGAAGAATAGCCATCACAGCATTTGCCAATGGGATTTAGAGGATTCACAAAAATAATTTTTTGTGTGACTCGAGAGCTGTTCCTTGCTGGAGGGAAAACACTGTTAACAGGACATCCGAGACGTGTGAGAACGCAGCCACAAAGCTGCCTGGTGCTGGCACTGCCTCTCAAAACAGCTTTTATGCTAGAGGATGGGAGGGGATTTTTTTGTTGCTGTATGCCTGGTGGCTTTGTACAAGACCCTGGGGTAATCAGGAAAGCATTATGAAAACAATAATAGCAGCTCTATTGAAAGCACATGTTGCTGTACATGCCCCCTTCGAGCTCTTGCTATGACAGTTAAGACTGAAATTCAGAAATGGGTGTAATTTAAAAGCCAGTTTATCCTACCCTTCTAAACAGGGCCCCAAGGTAAAACCTCGCTTTCCCTGACTCAGCTTTCTTTGAAACCTGCACGTTGAAAGGTTCTGGGAAGATCTGAGCCTCTAAAAGGTGGTGGTGGGGAACACAGAGCAGAGGAAAAACAAGAGGGAAAACAAACAAACAAACAAACAAACAAGCAAACAAACTCCATGAATAGAGCAGCTCAAGGCTGGACCAGTCACAGGGAAAAGCAGGGAAAAGCAGGGAAAGGAAATCTGCCCCTCTGCTGTGCTGGGTCTCCTCCCCTTCAGTCCTTTGTGCCATGCAATCAAAGATTTTGTGTAGGGAACTGTATCAATTCCATACAATTGTATCAAACAGGCCATTTGCCCTTGGCAGCCCTTTCACTGGATGCTCTATGTGATGCAGTATTAAACCCCACAGCGATGCTGAAAGTGCTGAGCCACACTCTCCTAACAGGACTTTGGGATTTTCCACAAAACCTTTTCAGCTGGAATTCTTTGTTGCTAGATTGCCCTTATTTGCTTTTTGCCAGGTACAATGGTAAAGCATCTTGTAGTCAGAAAGGGCTCTGGTACAAAAATTTCAGCTGCTAAAAATATCTTCTGTGTGAGAACACACCAGCCTGCTTCTCTGCAGAAGGATTTTTTCTTCTTGGTAATATGCTCCAGCTGTGTGAATAGCTGAAAGGAGGACTTTAAGCCTACTGAGACATGGGCTTTTCCATTTGACTTGCCCCTGCAGTCAGACCAGCTACTTCATAGAGAATGTTTTATAGCTTGACTTAGAGCTGTGAAAAATAATTCACCTCTAAACAGTCCAAGTCTGGGATGCCCAACTTCTTCCAAATGCTTCCACACTAGACATAAAACCACACCAAATTTCTTTGATTCTCTTTAAATTGCATTTTTGAGCTGGACTACTTTTTTTCTGGTTTTCTCAGCTAACAGAGAATGAAAAGGAGTTAGTGTACAGCTACATTCAGTTCTCCTGAGTGTGGAAAATGCTGGATCACCAATTCCCCCTTACAAAAAATTAGCACATCCCTTGAGTCAAGAGAGTATCAATTCCAGGACAGGCTACAGGACTTCTGCAGTGAAAAGCAAAGCAACAGAGCCCAGGTGTGGCCATTTCTGACCATCACTAGAAAGCTGATACAAACTGAAATGAGTTTTCTCAGTGTTTTCTTTACACTGGCTATCTGTGCTGCTCCTGGGACAGTATCTTCTACACATGATGATTTATAAATAGGTTCCAAAAGGGGAGTGCCTGGTTCTTTAATGTCTCTTCATGCCAGAAGGGTTTGCTGTTTGCTCTTACAATGTTACACTAGGCTGTGTGTATTTTGCCAGACCAGAAGCATTTCAATTGGATTCAGGCTCCCATTTCTGGCACAGGACACTTACATTTCCTTGTGTTATTTATGGAACTGATGGCTTCACTTACAGAACAAGTGAAAATGCTACAAACTACTTAAACAAGCACAAGACAGCCCCCTCCCTGCATGGATACTTAAAATTTAATTGATGTACATTACAGCAGGATAGGATAATTCTTTACAGGTTTGAAAACTGGCAGTGATGTTTATCAGAGCAATTGCTTATTTGCATTTCCTCACCCTGTATTTTAAACCTGTTTCCCTAGAGCAGCAGCTCTGCTGAGGCTGTTGCACCAGTTTGCTATGAAGCTTTGCCTGCTTGCTGAAAACTGAGGGCACTTTTTAAGCTCTGTTGGGGGAGGTTTAGGTTGGATATTGAGAAAAAATTCTTTACAGACAGAGTTGTCAAGCCCTGGAACAGCTTTCCCTGGGCAGCAGGTGAGTGTAGTCCCTGCTGGTGTTAAGCTGACCCCACTCTGCACGTCACACTCTTCTCCTGGACACCCATTCCTTCAACAGAACGTCTCAGTGACCTTCACCTCCGTCTCTCAAACACTACCAGCAGCTGGCACAGAGGAAGGACAGCTGCCATTAAGTTTCTCTTTACTGATATTTTACCCCGTGCCTGTCACGGGGCAGAAAACAACCCACACCTTCTCTGGCAGCTGCCTGGTCCCAGCTCTCCCATGTGGCTGCTTGCTGGCACGGCACAGGACTGTCTGTCTTGGGTGCACAGTGCTCCAGAGAAGTGTTACAGCAGGGTCAGGTTTTATTCTTCATCAGAAAAGAATTGATTCAAAAATAACACATCCTGGTACATCTTGCAGTCAGGCTGTGAGAACCATTCCCAAGATGCTGACAAGCCCTCTGCCCAGCAATCCTCCTGGGCACGGCTTTGAAGGCTCATGGACATTGTTCTCCTCTAACTACGTGGCCCAGGGCTGCAGCTGATCTCCCTTCCCTAGACACAGACCCTTGTTTTCAGCTAATCTGGCCCAAACCTCTGCAGCACAGAGAGAAGTGCTATCTCTGCTGCTCTGAACTTCTGACAAGCAATGCTGGGGAAACACCTCCCTCCCAGCAGCACCATGATCTGTAAATTGTTTTTCCCTGCTCAACATTATTTATGTTTTCAATAATGTAAGAGAGAATATATGCTGGAAATACTTGCAGGTCATGCATATTTCTGCTAAAAACTGGTATGTTCATCCCCATTATGATTCTTTACCTCCAAATGAAAGGGGTGCCATCTGCAGTGACTGCACTCTGTAGTTAATGATCCTGGTATTTGTACACATATTTCTTATAATTTTAAAGCAATTTGTTAAACCAGCAAAGCAGTCAGAATGAGGCTCATTATAGCTAAAGCAGTTGCCACTAAAATTCAATGTTTTCCTTGCAAAACTACATGTTTGTAATGTTTGTTCTATGCTTCAAACATGAGGGGAAAAGTTCTAATTTTGTGGCTGCCAGGTCCAGAACAGCACAATGGAGCCCCTACTGTCTCACAGCTGGGCTTCTCTGTTATTTATAACCTCTACACATCAGCATTCTGTACCAACATCAGGTCACCTCATTGCAGCCAAAATTATCTCATCAGCATACTAAAAGCACTGCTTTAACTGATCAGTATTTCAATCCTAAATTTGTCTGTAAATCTTAATACCTTACCTGCCTGAAAGAACTGAATTTTTATTTTATCTCTTCTTACAGTATTTTGTTCCTAAAGTACTGAATCAAAATGTTAATCTCTAAACCTATTCAATTAAGTCTGAAAAGTAGCACAGCCCACATGCTTTTCTAGTAAAAAATGAATTAACATACACTCAAGAGAGTCTTCTTCAAGGGTGGAGGAGTTCTTACTCTTCCAGATACTACAAGAATACTACAAGAAGCAGCAGAACAGTTTTCTTTAAGAAAAGAGAAAGCTATTGTAAAAATGACTGAATTTGTAAGTCCTCCACCCACTCCCTTGTCAGATATGGACATCACTCATCTCAACTTCCCCTTCTGAGTGGACTGCAGAGCCAGTGCCCATGGCTGGGTGTGGGAACTGAATTAGCTGGGGTGGGTAACACCTTGGACCAGGTCCCTGACACGGAGGGAATGAAGCCAAGGCTTGGCAGGGGGTGCTGGGGCGATGCTGATGGAGTCATTCCATAACAGGTCATGTCCCTGGGCTGTGCTCACCCCTGGACCCCTGCCCTCAGGCACCCCTTTAGACTGTGAAGTTAACCATGCCCCAGGTGTTTGGATGCAGCCCCTCAGACCATGCAGTCCCTGTGAACATTAAAATCTCTCTCTGGGCACTGTCACACCCAGCCTGATTCATTCTGCCACGCTCGACCCGGCCAAAGTGGACAAGAGGTCTCAGAACCACACTGAGACAGCTGGGCTGCAGAAAACAGCATGGAAAAGGCAGGCAGGAAAGGATTCATCCCCTGCACCTCTTCAGACAGCTTCTGCATAGGAAAACCAAGTAGGATTGCTGTGCTCAGAGATCTTGTGATGCATTGGGCAATTCCTCCAAGTGTCTGAAACCTTAAGACACAAAGAGGATAGGATAGGATAGGATAGGATAGGATAGGATAGGATAGGATAGGATAGGATAGGATAGGATAGGATAAGATAGGATAGGATAGGATAGGATGATAGGGTGCAGTAGACTACACTACACCACACTACATTAGACTGAAATATTTCATTTGGAAGAGACTGACAAAGGATCATTGGGTCCAACTGCCTGACCCCTTCAGGGCTGACCAAAAACTAAAGCTCATTTTTAAGGGCATTGTCCAAATGCCTCTTGAGTAATGCCAGTTTGAGCCACCACCAGGAACCCCCCTCCAGGATGCTGTTCCAGGGTCTGACTACCCTCTTGGTACACAAATGCTTCCTCATGTCAAGCCTGAGCCCTCCCTGAGGAGTCTTGGTTAAATTCTCTTTTGGTTTGTTCTTGACCACGGATATGCAGAAATATACAGAATCTTTCCTTTGGGACTGCTTGCCCTCAGATTTTCTGCTGTTTTCCAACCATGCCATGTTCCTGTGTTTATTTCTTCAGACAATCAATGCTGTAACAGCTTCACCTCTGCAGCAACACCCACAGGTTTAGAGATTTCCTCCAGGCACAGGCTGCCAACATTCCCAGCTCACACTGGAGGGGAAATGGTACCACAGCAATCACCCAGACAGGGAACGTGTCCTTTCATGCTGGTCCCAGCTCCATGTTTGCATCTCCCCAGTGTCTGCATCTCCTCCTGTTCCAGCAAGCCAGGTGAACACAGGATGAGGAAACTCAGCCTAATTTGCTACACACAAAAAATAAGCCTTGCAAGTGAAATACAAAGCTGACAGGCCATTTGTTGTCTTCATGAAATGGAGAATTCCCACATCTTACCTTGCATGTCTATTCATTTTACAGAATTAAATAATAAAAATCAGCATCTTTTACTAATTACTTGATTAAACAGCTCTTATCTGAGTGGAAAAAAGGGAACAAGATATAAATAAGGGTCACATCTGTTCCAAGAGCAATTCCAGGACAGTTTTATTCAGAATCACCTTTAATGACACTTCCACCTCTGATTAGAAGCAGAACCCACTCTCCATATGCAAAACAGCCAGACTTTTGGCTCAGGGTGCACAGGCTGATATACCTGCTCTCATAGCTGGTTTTAGCTCTGCTTAGTGATTAGCCAGGATCCCATCACCTCATTCAAATCCACTACATTTTAACAGCCTTACCTGGAGAAGCCTTGGTTGTCATATGCCATGTTAGTCACATCACCAAATACAGAAATATTCCTGAGTTTCTTATTGTTGTTGTTAATGTTTCTTCCCTTATAACCAAAGTAAGCAGCTTGCATGTGCTCTAGTTCTTCAGTCCTTAGCTGGTACCACAGCTGCATTTCTCTGTGAATACACCAAGCAGTAGAAGCAGTACTGTGATAAATGGATATCTGACCACAGAGCTGACTCTCTAGAGTTTAAATCTCATTCCAGGTTTACTGAAGAAAGCACTTAAATATGTGCTGAACTTCATGTGTAAGCCAAACTTGTAGAGATTTAAATGACACCCTAAGATAGGGAGTTCATCAATAGCATAAATATTAATGTGTAAAACAGTGCTATTTTAAGTACTGTCCAGCACTCCTCAGAAGCAAACAAACAAGAAAATGAGAGCAATTTTCTTATGAGCACCAGTGGATAGTTCAAAGGAACAAACCTCCAAGAATTATGTCCATTTGATTCAGTGTTCTTCCAGACTACAGGTAATAAGAAAAGTCATGTAAGGTGGGATGATGTGTCAGTGTTCTCATGGACCTTCATCAGTGACATCAGGCCATATCCCATTGTGTGTGAAAAGACTTCAGAGCATCTCCATTTTATGGGATAAATTATTTCAGGAAAAAAAAATATTTTTTGTGACTTTTTGAATCACTGCCATTCTTAAGGCTTCCAAAATCACCAGGCAGGTTGAAAAGATATTGACTTAAAAATGGAGGAGACAGGTAATGTTGCCTTTGTTCAGCATAGAGCATATTCCCTCACTGTCAGAATTCTCTTCTGGAAACGCTCAGGGCTGTTTTCATGCTGGTCTCTGCAACTCTGAGGCAAGGAAAAAAATCCACAATTTCTTTTCTTGTCTTTAAAAGAACTCGAAGATTCACAGAATCAAAGACACTCTCACTGGCTGAAAGGACAAGATCAAATTGTGAGAACTGGCAATGCTGATTTTGGTGACATTTCTGTCTTCTTGGGACACAGTCCTGCTCTTCCCAAAGAAAACAGCAGCCAGGGTCCCTCAGTGGGTCAAGATCTGTGAGGAGGATGAGTGGTGGGAGGCCTTTCAGCAGCCTAAGTCCCTTTTCTCATCAAAACACATGTGGGTGTGGCAGTTTAGTTGTGAACATGGTGGTAGTGCTGTGCTGACAGTTCAACTTAAGGCTCTTTTCCAATCCTAATGATTATATGTTGATTAAACACAAGATGACACTTCACAGGTCATTAGACACCATACAAGGCAGGTTTGTAGGCAGAGGTGATCTCTCAGGTGACCAAGAGCCAAAAGAAGACAGGCAGACCTCAGAGCTGCAGGCAAGGTGAGGACATCCTCTGTGCTCCATAGGTACAGATTAGCTGGTCTTTCACATATGGTCTAAGAGACACTTACTTTCCCCCCAAGAGTTCTCATTTTGTATTAAGTTATCAAGCCTGCAGCTTTTTGTCAGATTAATGCTTTGTGCATCCAGAAGTCGATCCACTTTTCCACCTCCATCACCAACAGAGATGCTGCCACTGCACCTGACAAGTTTCACACAGGGTTATTTTACTTTTTCTCCCATGACAGGGAGAGTTTGTTCGTGACTTCAGCTCTTTCTGACAGAATGGATAAGACACACCATGTCTGTAGTGCCCTTGGAGCTGGGCTCTGTTGCCAATGGGATGGAGCAGCTCCTTCAGGAGACAGGGACAGGAGCACAGGGGCAGCAGGGAACTGAGAAGGCCTCAGCAAAAGCAATCATTTTACAGCCTGATGACAGAATCAGGTCATAATGTCCAGTGTGAAGGGCTTTTCTTTTGTAAGAGAAAAATATCAAGTCATCACAATAATGGGAATGGCTACCTTTTACAAAATATCATTTAAAATAAATGAAAAGCAAGGATTGTGATATCAATAGTCGTACCAAAGGAAAAGTGGCACTTCCAAAAATGTCAATTAACCTTTCATTTCAAAGCAACTTATTTCATGCTACCAGTAAAAACCTAATATTATGACTGACACAAAGGACTTTCATTTTTTGACACAAAAAAATCTTTCAAGAGAAACAGAAAATCTCTATTTTGGCTACACTTGGATTTTGAATGACAGAAGTTCCCCCTTCAGCTGGTTCCCATGTAGCTTCAGATAAAGCACAGTTCAGCACTGAAACCTTCACTGCTGTCTTCCCCAACCTCCCTCCACTCCACTGGGTGGGCTGGTGGGAATAACCAGCAGGAAAAGTGAGAGGGGAATCAGGTTCCCATGGAAAGTTTTCTGCAGCAGTGACTGCAGGTGGATGCTCTCGTTAATGTGCTCCTGCTGACACCATCCACACTGACTTTTTATAATGGACTGGATTGAAAATTTGACTTCTTCATATTCCTGTTTATAATCCACTGATTTGTGCTCCAAGCCAGAAGACAAAATCCTCTGTCCTTCCAGCCCCACACTGGGACAGCTTTGAGGATGCTCTGCAGATGGTGAGGGTCTGGATGACTCTGACACAGGGAGAGTCCATTTCCCAGCAGTGTTGAAAGAAAGAAAGGAGAAAAAAAGGAAAGAAATAGAGAAGAAGGGGAAGCACTGCCAATCTTCAATAACTTGAGGAGAGAAATGCTGTGCCAGAAAAGAAGACTTGTGTGTTCAGCTTCTGCATAATCCTGGGTAAATCCATATCTCCTCAGGCCTGTTGAGGTTAACTGATATTAACAGGCACCAGGTATTTAAATACTCTGGAATTCCAAGTCTTTCTTTCCAAGCCTAAAGCCTGACCTACAAATTAAGGATATTGAGTAATTAACATCATTGCAGTGCTGCAAGCAGCAAATACCTAGAAGCACTTGTTATCACAGCAATGGGGTCCATATGATGTACACTCTTACATTGTTATTAAAAGTGTCTTCTTGACATACCTTTGAGTTCTCCTCCTCTCACTTTTCTTCACACACTTGATCAGACAGCAAGTTAAGAAAGCCATGGACATCAGCAGAATGACAGCACAGCTCACAATGGAGGCAATCACTGCGACCTTAAAGCCAAAAGTCTCGTACTTTGATATGGCTGCAGCAAAGCAAACACAGAAATGTTTCTAAGATCAGTCCACAAATTTTTAATCTTTCACATTTTCATTAAGCCATGCTGAAACCTACCTGCTTCACACTTCTGCTCAGTAAGGGCTTTCATATTATTGTGTGTCAAGACACCAGAGTATTTTGGTTTCAGCTTAGACCTATGCAAGCATCAAACTGGACTATGCAAAAATCCCCTGTTTATAAGTTACTAATGAATTGTTCACAAGCATTTCACCACTGCAATTAATTAAACACAGTGCCCTTAGCACTGCAGTAGCTAAAAAGCACAACTCTGTTGGCAGATCAAATGCAGATGAGCTGCAGACTTGTCATTAACAGGGACTGAAGCTACAAAAACAAATACTAACAGTGGTATGTGGTCCTAAAGAAGCCATTTAGAGCAAGGACAGTTCCATGTAATTACATCCTCTTTGGCAGGCAGCAAACAACAGGTCTTCCTCTGTTTGGGGAAGGATGCATGATGGAAGAAGTGGCCTGCAAGGCTGAGTGTTTGCAGGGATCTGATGCTGGAAGTGAGCTATCCAGACAAAAGGAGGAGTGGGAATGTGGTGTGGCACAGCCAACACAGACCTCTGCCAACTCACTTGGAGCAGTAAGCGTGTCTTGCTTCAAAACTCATCTAGTTCTCCCTATGTCACAATGACCAGCATCATAAATGGTTCAGCTGAGCTCCACACAAAGCAGTATATTTCTGCAGCCTCTGGGGGAAAGATTTCTCTCATTTTTTCTTCTATGGGATCTCCAAACAAGAGGTAAGAACAGCTGAGTGTGTGAGAGAGCACTAAGCGTAAGAGCAATGTATCCACTGGGGAATCAGAAGGACACGAGGTCTGAGGCACCTCAAAGCTCAGGGGCACCAAGTTTTGCTTGGGTCTACTTCTGGTTAAATTAGTAACAACCTTATAACAAACAAGAAGGAACACAGCTAAAAGGTAGTTACTGCTGTTGCCATTCCAACACTATTTCTCTATACCTAACTTCCCCATGCAGCTGCCCACAGACAACAACCAAGAATTGTTCAAAAAGTCTCACTGTGCTTCTTTTACATCAAAAACATTGATGTAAAATTGTTAGAAAATTAGAAAATGTCATTGTTAGAAAAGACAGCCAGGAGATGAGATGTTCACAAATATGCTTGCACATCAGTTGGTCATTCTCATAGTGCTGGGGTGATTTATGATGTGGTCTATTCCCTGATCCTCTGCTTTATGCCCCAAAATGGTTTCTGTATCTCTAAGGTGGGTCGGGGGGGGAGCCTTTGCTGGGCTTTTTCAAAGCCTCACTGCCCCAGCAGTCCAGGGAAGTGGTGCAGTCTGGGTTTTGCTTGGCTAGCTTGGGGTTTCTTTCTTAGCCCAGGCAGAAATTTGTTGGTTTATTTTTTCCTTTCCCTGGGCTTGGAGAGGCTGCAGCAGCAATCCTTTGGTGGCTTTTCGAGGTGAGCTGGAGGGTTTGGTTTTGTTCCAAGATTAGAAGGAACAAGCTTCAGGAGAAGAATTGGCCCTGGTGGGAGAGAGGGGCTGCTCTGTTTCAGCCCCAGACCTCAGAAAAAGCCTGACCCAGAGAGGGAAAGCACACCTGCTCCACCTGCTGTGGCTGTGGACAGGGGACTGACCCCAGAGAGTCACTGGCTTCCCACCTGTTTGCCTGAGCTGCTGCATGAAACTTGTTTTTTTCCCGAGACAGGAGCTGGTTTCATCCTTCTCCCCACCTGGCTGCTGGTTGTTGTGGGCTTTTATCTTCCCCTGGCATTTTGGGGTTGATATTTTTTCCAGGAGAGGGGGTGGTGGTGGTGTTAAAATCTGACAGTGTCTAGCACTTATTTACCTTTTTTCCCATGCTGTGTGGGCAATCTGTTTGTCAATAAATGGTTGGTTTTTTTCACTTTCATTTCATATGAATGAACTCATAGTATTCATTTCTTATTGGTGGAAAGGGCTTGTTGGAATCTGTTTTTTAGAACACTCATTCCAGAGTGTTTTTCTCCTAAACTTGTCTCTAAAGAGATGAGAGATGAGACACCCATAGATTCTCTAAAGCAACATACAGCTTTTAGCTAAAGCCAGTTATTCCAGGTGCTACCCGGACATGAGATCAGGGATGAATCCAACAGAGTCTTTTTTGCCTTGTGATGATGACATGTCAGAACACACATGGAGTGGAATTACCATCAGTGGGGCAACTTTGAAGAAAACTGAATTTGTCTTTTTCTTTTTTCAGTTATCTAGAACAAATCCTAACGTTGCAGGAGAGGCAGGGCAAGGGAGGGGCAGGCTTTGGGAAGAACCTTACGCTTGCAGGAGGGCACTCCGGCTGTCCACTGCGTGCTGTTCCCTTTCCAAACGCAGGAGACGATGCCTGGTCCCTCCAGCTGGTGCTCAGCAGGGCACTGGAACATGAGCACTGATCCCACATCGGTGCCATTGCCATGAAGGAGCTGGAGAGAGCCCAGCTGGGGTGGGAGGAGGCGGCTGCACTGCCCTGCAGAGCAAGCACAGACACAATGCAGCCCCACCGCCAACACTGAAGGTCCACTGAGGTTTTATCCACTGCAGACCGTAAATCAGTCACAGTTAATGGGCAGAACAAATCCCAGACCTCGGGGTGGCCAACACTCTGCCAAGCACCAGCCCACGGCCACTCTCCATCAGTGCCATTCAACAGCTCCTCTGCCCTCATCCCCAGCACAAAGCAACTGATGTCGTGACATTATCTGCTCAGGCTGGTACATGGTGAACACTAAAACACTAAAAACAATTAGAAAAAAAGCCATTTTTGAGTGGCACAGTACCCTATGGATCCCTGTGTTATTGGATTCTGATTAATTTAATACTCAGGATGGCTGGGAGTATTAATTACACGTCTTCCCCTATGCAAATTTCCAATACCTTCTGGCCTGATCATGCAGTTCAGCACCTTGGCATGATTTGAACAAAACTTCTTATCTTTACAAGCACTGCACCTCTGTTTGGCTTGGCTGAAAGGGTCCAAGGGAAAAAAAACCCCACAGAAAGTGGCATAGAAAGGCATACACATATATATTATCTCCCTTTTCAAGTGACAAACTCAGCTTTACAGTAAATCATTAATTTTTAATACATTTTTCTTCATTCCACTTTTCTATAATTCTGTTGTTTATAAAGCTGCTCCTTGAGCTGTGGAGCTGTTCTCCCTTTGGCCACCTAATGTCAGCCACTAACTTCATACAATAAGTGCTATTGTCACAACATTCCTTGTTTACAGTCACTTTAAACAAAACTTTCAATGTCAAGTCATTAAGACAACATATAACATCTAGATAATTTCAAAGGTAACAAATACTTTTTCTGTGTCTGTACATGTGCATTGTGAAAATCTAGAAACTTGGGGGTTTTTTAACTTTTACAAAAAACCAGCACTGCTTCTGCGTCAGAGCCCAAGTTCCCTGTTTTTCACTGGATTTCCAAATGACTTCAGAAAACTCAGAGGCACAGTGCTTCAAGCACTATGATGACACACACAAAAATATTAAAAGAGGGAAAATGTATTTTCCACATCTACAGGCAAAAAGGAATTACAGACTCCATGAGAACATCCTGACAGGACCACATGTTGCTAGCAAATCTATTTTATTTTTAATGCTAAAACTCCCCCCATGTCATTAATTGCTGTTAAGTCCCTAGATCATACACAGCAGGCAGGTGTCCCACCTATCTCAAATTCATGTTCCTAAACTCCCTATCCCTGGAAAACAAACACGAAGGAATCTCAGCAAAAGACCAAACAGAAGTCCCAGGGACAATTACTGGGCTAATCTCTTGAGTAAATATGCACCAAGCACTAGCTTTTAAAACCTCAGCTCTTTAATTCCATGCAGATTATTTCTGTTTGTTTTGCCACTTCATTCAGCCACTTACTATGGCAGCAATTGACCTCAATGAGAGCAAATATTTTTGATACAAATGGTTTCTCCTCACCTCTTGTCCTTCCCACCCACATCCCTGGAACACACAGGATGTACTGGACAATTTTCCTCCTCACTCCAGATGAGTGTTACAAGTTTGGGCTTTTTATCTTAATCACTCTGTGGCTTACCATGAGTAACCATTGTCCTAAACTGCAAAATAATAAGGATTTTATATATAGATGTTTGGGGTTTTTTGTTTGGTTGATTTTTTTACAATTTCAAGGCTGTTTTTCGAGATCGGACCACATTTTTAAGAGTTCACACTGGCGACTCTTTGAGCTGTACAACATGCAAAAAGTAATGAGAGCTGAACTGGACTGGATGCACACCTGCTGGGCCACCACATGAGCCTCAGTAGAGGCACTCAGCACACCTGGACTCACTGTCCTCCAAAGAACAAATAATATGGCACAATATCCACAATATCTTTAAAGATGTATTTCATTTAAACCAGAATTAACCCTCCTGTGTAACATGTGCAGTTGCTGGGGTGTTTTGAATCTTCCCTGCCCAATCCTTGCCCACGATGGTGTCTGCCAAGTGCTTAAACCTCTGACTGGCAGTGATCTTTGTCAGCACCATTCCTCAGCCGTGGACTTGAAAATATTTTTGCTCCACTTGAGCTCTACAGAAATGTCTACTTGCCAGCATCCCCTCAAAATGTGGGTATTTCCATGGTAAATGGGTATTTCCATGCTTTGCTGCAACTGCATCACGATTGTGCCCAGAGGATCATTCCCATGTGAATGTAATTGGGGCTGGAACCACAGAGGTGCATCTCAGTGAGAGCTGCACATCCAAAACCTTCTGTAGCTGAGCTGAAAGCTGATCAGCAACTTCATGTACCTGCACTCGTGCAGAGGAGAAACACCATTCTTGTTTTAGGAGCTTCTCAACACCATTTCATCCCACTAAAGTAAAAAAACTTAAATGTGTCACTGCTTTTTGCTTTTCGTTGATTGAAATGCTTTTCATTTATTGAAATGTCCAGATGGAGTTTTTCCAGAATGTTTTTTTGAATTTCATCCAAGCTGAGATTTAGCTTCTCTGCATAAAATTTGCCCTAATTTCAATCATCATCTTCTAAAAACACATTTGGAAAACTTTCCTGCAAGCTCTAGCATCCTTCACTATTAGCTACCTGTAATGTTTTCATAGTCAGCCATGGCATTCACTTTTCTGCTAGGTTAATTTTAGCCTTACATCTCCAAAGAATCATGTTTAAGTAAGCTTCCATCCTTATACTTACATAAACAGATGTTCCAGATAGACTTCTTTTTTGAATACTCTTCAGGCATGTTTATCAGACTGAATATACTACAACCAAGAATTTTATTACTGTTTTTATTAATATGATCAATTTTATTTTTGTTTTCAACTGAGACTGGTGTCTGAAGCTGCAGTGCTCCCTGGTAAAACACAAATATTTGTGCTGACCAGACTTACATTTTGATTTATTAAATATCTGGAAAATGTCATGTTCAGGTCTTGGTTTGCATAACTGCTGGCACCCAGAAATGCAAAAATTAAAAACTGTAAAAATTGAATAAATCCCCTGATTAGAGAGCTGGAGGCCCTCTGCTCTGGAGACAGGGTGGAAGCACTGGCATTGTTCAGTCTGGAGAAGTGAAAACTCTGGGGAGATCTTACAGCCCCTTCTGGTGCCTAAAGGGGCTTCAAGGCAGCTGGAGAGGGACTTTGGACAAGGGCCTGCAGGGGCAGGACAAGGAGGAATGGCTGAAGCAGGGCAGATTTAGGTGGGATACTGGGAAGAAATTGTTCCCTGGGAGGGTGGGGATGCCCTGGCACAGGGTGCCCAGGGAAGCTGTGGCTGCCCCTGGATCCCTGGCAGTGCCCAAGGTCAGGTTGGACAGGGCTTGGAGCAGCCTGGGACAGTGGGAGGTGTCCCTGCCATGGCAGGGGTGGAATTGAATGGGCTTTAAGGTTCCTTCCAACCCAGAACCTTTGCAGCTATTTCTGCAGCTTTTTGTAGAGCAGAAGCTGTTTTATAAAAATGCAATTCTCAGCTTGGCCTCACGCTGAGAGGATATCCAGTGTTCAGAAAATCTCTGAATCTGAAGCTGCTGTCTGGCACTGGCTACAACAAACAGGTTATTGCATATGACAAATAACTATCCTCAAAGTAAAGACAGACAATAAAGTGCAGTGTCCTCCATAAACTCTTAATTCACCCGAACCTCTGGGTTCAGAAATAAACACATACATAATTTCCAGGCACTGAAAAACGGAGAGTAATGCAAGAATTAAAATAATCCAAAATATCTCTTCTCATGTACAGACAGGATTATCTGTACTGCAAAATTGATTTGTCAAAAAGAGGAACCATATGGTTTCACTGTCAGCAAGCTCTGGGTTTATGTTTTGCTGATAAGAAAAAATAAATGAGAGAGCAACCTAGGCATGCCTGCCTGGTAAACATTTCCTGTGCTACTTCCACAGCAAAACAGTGACTAAAAATCAAATACATTGCATAAGTACCTATCAAAATGATCCAACCTACAGAAGTAATTACCTGGAAGCATGTTAGCAAGGGTGCCACTTGGTGTCTGTGCAGAAAGAGGGTGATCCATGCCTTCACCTCATTATTCCCATACACACAAAGGCCAACCCCTTTGCATTGCTTATTGTTGGCGATTTAATATCACTAAAACATGCTGGAATAACTAGATGCCAGAAAGCAAGAGAACACTAGGCTCTCTCAACCCTGTAGAAAATAAACACACCAATATTACTGCTGCAAGTCTCTTTTCCTACAGAAGCACACCTCAGAAATTGGTGTCCCTGCAATCACAGGCATGTTAAGCATCCACAGCAAACTCACAGAAGAGCTCAATGTGTTAAAAAGCAAAAGAAAAGCAGCTGGAAGTGAAACATGAAATAAAGCAGATGTAGTAAAGCATGTTCTATCGAGTGAAACTGTCTGGCCCTGGCACTGGTCTCCTTGACACCATGCTGTTCCTTCCTTGCAAAGCTGGCCTCGAGTCCTGCCAGGGCTGGGCTTTTAAACCAGCAAATGACCACCAGGATCCTCCTGATCCTCCCACGAGAAAATCCAGATGCTGGCATGGCTTTTAAAGAAATTAGTGTGAAACATGACACCAAACCCACATTAAAAGAGCAGGGTGAGACCCAGGCTATGGAAGCTGTTGTAGAGATGCTGGAGGGCTCTTACAGACCTGTCTGCCTTCCAACACACAGGTATGGCTCTGTGAAGTTACTCCCTGGGGGAAGCTCTGGAGGTTCAGGTGTGGCACAAGCCACGTGCACCAAAACATCTGCACACCCATTACTGCAAGTACCACCTCAGAGGCAGGGCCAGGCTTGGCCACCACTGCTCTGGGAGCTTCACACCCCAGATTCTGATGGAGACCTGCAAGAAATGAACAGCAGCCACAGGACTGTTCCTCCAGGCCAGTCGCATAAAGGAACATCTGGACAACAGCACAGGGTAAAACTTGCAGGTACCTAAGGAACGCATCTGTTACAGCACATTACCTGGCAAAAGAAATGCAGCTTGTTAATATGTGGTTCTGGCACCTGCCTCATATTAGCATTTCCAAATGAAAATATTCCCC